ATTAGGCCCTTCTCCAGTGAGTCCTTCCTTCTCATTAGTTCTAGGTATAGAACTAAGTATACTGTACAAGTATAGTATAGGTGGTACCTGGCCAATGGTAGTAACTGTGAGAGGGATCTTGGAATCCTAGTGAACAATCCCTTAAATAGGGGCCAGCTGCAGCTGCCAAAAAGGCCAACACAGTGCCTGGCTGCATTAACAGAGGGATAGAATCAAGATCACGTGAAATGTTAATACCACTTTACAATGCCTTGGTAATGCCACACTTGGAATACTTCATTCAATTTTGGTCACCACAATGTAAAAAAGATGCTGAGACTCTAGAAAGAGTACAGAGAAGAGCAACAAAGATGATTAGGGGACTGGAGGCTAAAGCATATAAGGAACGGTAGCTGGAATTGGGTATGTCTAGTTTCATGGAAAAAAACACTAGGGGTGACATGATAGCAGTCTTCCAATATCTGAGGGGCTGCCCCAAAGAAGAGGGATTCTGGTTTGTCAACTCCATAAGAACTAGGATGGAATTTGTCAAATGCAAAACCAGATCCAATGGATAAGCTAATGTTTTAATAATATGCTTGTTTAAAAACATCAATTCTTTATTCTCACTGTGCTGTCTTCCAGCTGGAGGTGAAGAATATGGTCTCCAGACCTATAATTAGCTGTAATTTCCGCCGACTGCCAAACCTCTTCAGCATCAGGGATCCAAACTCTGTTATACTACAACAAAGGAAAAATACAAACATCATGGAGTGTTTGGTGGCTTAATTCTTAACAGATTTGATGAATTTTCATTTTGTTCTCAAATAAAAAAGCTAGTATGAGTGTAGCATCAGCAAAAATGAAAAAAAACCTGCCTCTCGTAATGGATAATTGCAACTAATTGCTATGTTTACATTTAAGAATCAATTGTCAGGATCTGTGGACTTCAACTCCTAGAATTCTCCAGTGAGCTGGCTAGGGGATTCTGGGAATTGAAGTCCACAGTCCCACTTGCTGAAAGGAATGGCGAGATCTTTCCACAAGTGGCACCTTTGGATTTGTGCACAAAAGAGGTTTGTGAGCTGAAACACTGCAATACAAAACGGATTCCTCCTTACGATTTTGTCACATACAGTATGTTAACTCAATCTGATCTCATCTTCCAGGCACCTCCATCTGCAAATATTACAAGCCGCCTGCAGATCAGGGAACTGGCCTTACAAATAAACATAACAGGTTTACTTTCAAACTGAGTCACACTCAGCTTGCCCCCTTCACCATCGCAAACTGGAGAATTCTTCGAGTGATTGGAGAAAGAATACAGATGCAAACTGTCCTTAGAGCAGTGGTTCTCAACCTGTGGGTCAGGACCCCATTTGCGGTCAAACGACCATTTCACGGGGGTCGCCAAACAACGCAATCCACCATTTTTTTCCCCTTTTCCTTAGCTTTGCTCCTTCCTTTTATTCTATTGGCTTTTGAAAGCCAATAGAATAGACTCTCTTGAATAGAGTCTAATTCTATTGGCTTTCAAAAGCCAATAAGAATTGTCCAGGCTGTCTCTGCCCTGCTGAGCCCGCCAAAAGTCCCATTCTTCAAACGGTGCTGCATCAGTTGAGCAGTCCTCGACTTACGACCGGTTGGGGGTCGCGGCATTAAAAAGGTTGAGAACCACTGCCTTAGAGCATGATTACAGGACACCTGCACAAAACTGGAGAATTTACACACTCCTATACAAAAATCAGCAAGTATATAATGAAGCTTTCAAACATGAGGTAATCTAGTGCTTTTTTTTTCCTACAAGGACTTTCTAAGGTCCTGCAAAACACTTCCTGATCTTTTAAGTACCTAATTTTGCAACAGAAATTCTGCAAATGATTCATGCTTTTGGAGTCACACAATAGATTGCCAAAGGAATCCACAAAGCTCACAAGGAGGGACTGGAGGGTCACAGCCTCTACCACTAAAGGGTCCTTCATACAGGTGGTCCTCAATTTACAATCACAATCGGGACCCCAGTTTCTGCTGTTAAATAAGGCGGTTGTTAAGTCGCACCCAATTTTACATCATTTTTTTGCCATGATTGTTAAGCAAATAATTGCAGGTGTTACGTAAACTACACAGTTGTTAAAGTGAATCTGGTATCTCCCATTGAGTTTGCGTGTCCGATGCTGCATAACAAAGTCACAAACAGCAAGCATATGACACCGGAAGGCTGCAACAGTCCAAGATACATGCTGTTTGCCAAGCGCCACAAACTTTGGTCAGAGGTTTTCCCCTCCCGGGTTTAGGGTATGGGAAAAAGCTGCTGTATTCGGTTAATTTATAGGCGGGGGGGGGGGAGAGATGGTGCAAATGGGTTTATTTGGGAAGTAGGTGAAGTGTGGTGGTATGAAGGTTTCCTCTGAGGCTGCCCAGTCAAGTGCCTATGTTGCAGCTCCTGAAACAGCCACCTTGGAAAAAAGTTTGTTGGATCGGTCATGTCTAGGACCCATGCCCAGGAAAGGAAAAGGGAAAAACAGGAAAGGGGGGGGGGGAGTTTGAATAAGATAGGAGAGAGAGATAAAAAGAAAGAAAGAAAGAAAGAAAGAAAGAAAGAAAGAAAGAAAGAAAGAAAGAAAGAAAGAAAGAAAGAAAGAAAGAAAGGGGAGGGAGGAAAAGAGGGAGAAAGAAAGAAAATAGAAAGAAAAAAAGAAAGAAAGAAAGAAAGGAAGGAAGGAAGGAAGGAAGGAAGGAAGGAAGGAAGGAAGGAAGGAAAGGAAGGAAGGGGGAGGAAGGGAAGGAGGGAGGAAGGAAGGAAGGAAGGAAGGAAGGAAGGAATGGGGGAGGGAGGGAGGGAAGGAGGGAGAAAGAGAGAAAGAAAGAAAGAAAGAAAGAAAGAAAGAAAGAAAGAAAGAAAGAAAGAAAGAAAGAAAGAAAGAAAGGAGGGTGGAAGGAAGGAAAAGGGAAGGAAGGAAAAGGGAAGGAAGGAAGGGGAAGGAAGGAAGGAAGGAGGAGGAGGGAGGGAGGGAAAGGGAAGAGGAAGTAAGAAAGGAGGGAAGGCGAAAGGAAGGGAGGGAAGGAGAGCAGGGTCAAATCCCGGGAGGCCGAGGAGCCGGGGGGGGGGGCTTTGAACCCGAGAGGCACCGATCCGCTCCCCCTTCTGCCTTCCCACCACGCGCCGAAGCGGCCCGAAAACGGGCCAGGCTCTAACACCCCCACCCCACCCCATCCCACCCCCTCCCGCCGCCGGCCCGCCTTGCAAAGCCCGCCGAGCGCGGGGCCAAACGGGCGGCCCGCGCCTCCACCTGTCGCGGCGCCCGGGAGGCCCTGCCCGCCTCCACCCGGAGGACCGAGTCGGGGGCCGCCCGGCCGGTCGGCAGGCGCGGCTCCTCGCTCCCTTCCGCCCGGGAGGCGCCGCGCCGCCACGCCTGGCCAGCTGGTGGGGCAGGCAGGCAGGCAGGTGCGGCGGGCGGCGGAGCCTCCCCGGGGCTGCCCGCCGGGCGGAGCGGCCGCAGGAGCCCCCCCCCGGCGCCGCCCTTGCCCCTACCTGCGTGTAGAGCTCGGCCAGCGCCATCGCAGCGGCGGCGGGGAAGGTGCGCGCCCTGCCCGCTGCGCTCTGGCCGGCCGGAGGTGGGGCTCCGCGCCGCCGCCTCCCGCGCCCTCCTTCCCTCCCTCCCTCCCCGCCGGCAGCCGGAGCGCCACGTTTGTTTGCTTCCTTGCCGGCCGCCTCCGCGGAGGGAGCTGCCCTCGGGCCCCCTCCGCGGGCAGAGGGAGGGAAGGAGGGAGGGTCTCCCCGGCAGGATCCGGGTTGGAGCCGCCTTGTTTTGCGCGCCTCTCCAGCGCCAGCTCCGCTTCCCCTCTCCAGCCCGAGCGGTTGCGTTCACAGGACACGCGAAGAAGCCGGGCAGGGGAGCCCGGAAGGGACAAGTCGCCCTTCGTGGCCTCGCGCAGCAAAGCTGGCCTATCGACCTCCCCCGAGGCAACACATACACACACACACAAAACACACAAATCGCGGACGCTCCAGCAAACTGGCGCAAAACAACATGCGCGGTTTTGAATTGCTCAGAAGCCTCGCGCCAGATGTTCCGACGAGCTTGCAAAATTGGTCCAGATGTTCCGGAGACCCAATGGGTAGGTTTCTGTTAGCCTAAAAGCCATCTCGGTTAAAAACTGAAAGGGGTGTGTGTGACCTGAATGTAAGGCTTCCTCCTGGCTTCAGGGACGTTTTTTCCACGCACCCCCTTTAAAAAAACACACAAAAAAGGCCATTGTCACCATCTATTGTGTAGTTTTCAATGTAGAAATGGCGGGGGGGGGGGAATGCAGGTATCAAATGCAAGTGATGGCCTTTTGGAATATAGGACTTTTCTGAGCAACTTCCGGGCATCAAGGATGGATCTATATAGGTCTATAAATAAATATATTTATTTATATTCACTTTTTAAAAAACCAAAGGGTAAAAGACAAAACAAGGAGGGTGAGAAGGAGGGAGGGAGGTCAGTCTGCAAGAAATGAAAAAAGAGAAGGGAAGAAACCTATAAGGCAGTGGTGGTGAACCTAGGGCACAGGTGCCAGAGGCAGCACTCAGAGCCCTCTCTGTGGGCACATGCGCCGTTGCCCCAGTCCTAGGCCTTCAGCTGGGTTTTATAAAACCTTTTTGCTTGAGGCCTCTGCCACCATGTGCAAAAAAAAAAGGTTCAATCAGTCAATTTCAACTTCTCACAGAAAAAAAATCTTGCAAAGTTGGAATTGATTGAACTTTTTAGTCCCACCCAGTCTGCCGTTATCACTGAAGCCACACCCACCCAATGGGCCACGCCCACCTGGCACCCGACGATGCATAAGTGGGTTTTGGGTTGCAGTTTGGGCACTCGGTCTCTAAAAGGTTCGCCATCACTGATATAGGTGATCCTTTATTAGATCCAAGGCACGTTGAGATGAGATCATGGATAGGTATTGAAATATGTTAAACATTATGACCGAATTCATCCCTTTCACCAATAGCCTTTCATACAAGAGAATGAAAAATAAAAGACTTTTTAGCGTTTCCTTTTATTTGGACATTTCTTCTAAGATACAGCATTTACGAAGCATACATTTATTAATTATGTCAGACGCCATGACAATTCCAAGCTTTAAGTCATTCGGATTAACATTTTGGTTTCTATCTACGCCTAGTGGGTAAAAGACCTCAAACCCTGTTGTTTTTGCTTCAAAAGGAATGGCTAGTTTAAAAGTACAGTGATCAAGCCATTTTTAAAAAAACAAAACAAAAAACCAGTTGAAATGTGTCCAGTTTTGAAAGTCTCAAAAGCAAAAAAAAGATACAATGGTTTGAGATAGCAAATTAACTGAAGAGTGTTTGCTTTGAGAAAAAATACTATTGGGATCAAGAATAATAACTCTGTATCCACGTGTAGACCTGAAATTGTTTATTTTGCTAAAGTCTGCTGTGGGTGAGACTGGATTGTCCTTGGACAATCTGCCCCCCAAAAGCAGACATATTTGTACCAGCAGGAAAGACCTATTATGAATAGTGCAAATTTATTGTGACTTGATGTCTGATGCACAAAGCTTTGTACACATGGAAACAGACAAATCAATGCCCCCAGCCCTCTTAAAATATTCTGGGGATGGGCACTGGAAACGAACAGATCAGCACAAGCAAGAAAGGAGCTGTATGATCAAAGCAAACATGTTTTGAATACAGTGCATTTAATCCTTACCTGCAACTTTCTTAGGGCTTTAAAAGGATGCCCAGGATTGCACAATTGCACATTCCATAAAACAAAATTGTTCCAGACTAAGCAAGAAAAACATTCTTCCAATCGCGGGGCGCAATATTATATTATAGGAGCAGAGAACATTAGAAGAAAAGCGAAAACTATCTGAAACCTACAGTAATGAGGTAATATTGGAAGAATATTTTGGGTCTATACATTTCAAAAGCACGTCTTTCAGCACACTTGGGAAGGAGAGAAATTGTAGAATATCAGTTAAAATAAAAGAGATGGCAACACTTCCACATTAAAACAACATGATCATATTTTAAAGGGGGGGGGAATAAGCAAAACTCGAAATTGTGTTAGATGCTACAAATTCTAACTTGAAAACAGCTGCTTTTCTAGCATGTAACCGTAAAATATTAGACCCATAAAAAGTGCACGTAAAATACTGATATGTAAAGCATTGGATGAATTACAGAGCACAGTTAAACTCGGAACTCCTTTAAAACATGGAAAGCAGCATTCGGTTTTAATGGGACAGAAAGATACATTAATCAGATTTCTCAGTAGAAGGATAATGCCGACAGGCATCCATCCCCCCTATTAGTAAACAAGATACAGTAAGGCTTTTATACAAACAAAATGAAAAATTAAAAACCATATATCTAAATAATATCGTAATCGCTTCTGGAATTGTCAAATTCTTGGGGAAAAAATTACTTAGTTGAAATGAAAAGGCAGGATTCCAGTATTTCTAGAAACTCAGTAAAAAGATATATTGGCTGGAGGGGGAAGGAGGGGGGGGAGAAATACGGTAATTGGGCTGCTAGATGTTAAAAGTAATGCTGTCTCCTTATATAATTTCTCTTACAGCCTTTTCATTATGCAGTGGGGGGGGGAATCCAACTTTTAAGGCCTATGGACTTCAACTCCCAGCATGCTAGGGAATTCTGGGAGTTGAAATCCAGAAGTCTTAAAACTGCCAAGGGTGGACATACCTGTTATACAGGATGCTAAGAATCCAGTGAGTATTGAAAAGTTAGTGTACTTTGCCATCTAAGATTCTGAACATGAACTCTCTCAATCCACAACCAGTGGGGCAAATTTCACTGGTAAGATGAATGTAAAACTTGGGGGGGGAGACAGATAACACCCCCCCCCGGGCCAACCGCCAATGTCACATAGTGTCACAAGTGTCACAAGGTGCTCCATTGTTGCCCTAAAGATGACTGGTTAAAATATTATTTTATATTTTCACCTTCTCTAAAAAGAGTGTTTTGGACACCTATTGTTTGACTGCACAGCACACACCCACACACAGAGAAACTGACCACACAAACGGGAAATTGACTAATTTACACCTGTGGCTGGGAGATTACGAGAATAAAGTTCAGATAATTTAGGAAGCCATGGGGGCGGAAATGGCCACTCTAGGACCTCAACTTTCAGCCTCTTTGTAGTAACAAACTCCAACTGGCTAGAGCCACAGAGAAAGTTGACCTTTTAATAGAGCATTTTAAACTAATCCTAGGAGGAACACATCCTCTTAGTTGTTTTTTGTTAAACGTAGTGCCAGCTATAAAAGAAAATGCACATTTTCAAGTAAAGACCTATTAATGTATCATAAATAAAGAACATGTATTAAAGGCAATACTTGAGTACCTGAATATTTTTTTTAAAAAAAAATCAATTAAAGAGCATATCCTTCCCTTCCCACAAGAAAACAAAACAAAAAGAATGGGGAGGGGGTGTCTTTTAATTACCTCAACAGTGTCCCTGTCAGTCACATCTCTTTTGCACATGAAAACCTATTTAAAGCTGTTTCAAGTGACAGCATCTTTTAGGTGCGCAGAGAAATTAAGTCCAGTACTAGACCTTTTTAATAATGTGCATTTACAGCAGAGATATGTTTGAAAGTAAACACAACTCAGTTGTTAGGATACATTAAAATATTGCACACGGCAGTTTCAGGATATGTAACATCTTCTTTTGTATATCTGATCATCACTGACCCCACCTGGTTTATTTTATTTTTTTTAAAAAGGGGGCCCGGAGAACTTGAAGTGAGGGTCCAGAAATATTTCAAAATGTCAGTTTCACACTGGGGGAAATCATGACAAATATTCTATCTGCAGCCTGAGAGATGTTGGCAAAATCTTTTACATAGATTATATTCATAATGTGTCTAAATGAAATGTCCCCATGGAAACAGAAAATGAATATTTCCTTTTTTTGTTAATAAAGTGGGTCCAAATCAGGGATAGCATTAATTTTTTAAAAAATGAATACGTAGCAAGCTTTTAAGAAAATCATAAGATTGGGAGCGGTACTAATAGTAGAGGAATAGCTTCTTTTCCAGATTAAATGTTTGAGATGCATTTTAGATGAACGCTTTCCCTATTAAAAAAAACTCCTTCCCAACCTACAAAATAAATATTACATTCTCATTACACATCCAGCAAATAAAAGACCAAAAAATGAAAAGCAACATACACCAAACCAAATAAATAAATATAAAATATAATATCGGTGGGTTGTTCTTTGACTTTAGAAAAGAGGTTCCAGTTTCTTTAGATTGTGCTTAGTTATCGTTTCCTGTTACTACTTATATGTTTCTTGACACTGGCATAAATCATATTAAAAGACCAGACTATTAAAGTTGCAGTGATTTTACAAACTTGCATTTCTGCTCCTTAAAAATTATTGTACATTTAAAAGAACACCATAGACCGCGACACTTCTAATATGGTTTGAAACAGATTGTACCATCTATTGTACCAGACTGTAAACTAAAATACTTTTCATTAGTTCATTATTTATGTCACACTGGCATAAATAGGAAGGCAATCAATTAATTTGATCAATTATCTCTCAGGTTGAAACCTATCCAAAAAAAAACCACAACTTATTTAACTTTGTCCTAATGAATGGTGCTTTCTAAGAGGATGACTATTTCTATTTATTTCATGGTTTTTATGGTTTGTACAGGCAAAATGCCTGATCAATGATACTGTATGTTGCCTGTCTCTATTAAATTTTCAGGTCTTTGAAATATATATATACGTATATATGAGTCTCTGTGTGTATGTATGTATGTATGTATGTATGTATGTATGTATGTGTAGACACACACACACACACACACAGAAGCTACCCCTAAATATTTCCATCCTTTCTGAAAATCGCACTTGGTTTTAGCTCCTCGCTAGTCCCTGTTAACTGGCAAATCATTTGTGACTTAAGAATGCTGAAATGTCTTGTATACAAGGAACTTTAACATATTCTCAGCTTTCACTTTCTGATCAACGTGAGCATCAGAAACACATTATGGATTGGAGGTAACACATTCACACCTTTGCACTGGAATGACACCTTTCCACGCAAGTGGAGACACAGAAACAATTTGCAATCGGTGACCGTTTTCTACAAAAAAAAAAAAAGTGTACGTGTGAAATACGGAATAAAGGATGGGATTCTCAGAGCCGCTTCACACAATTGGCTCTTTGCCACCAGATGCACATTATAATTTTGACGTTAGCGTGGAAAGGAAAAAGAAACCAATCGCGATTTATCGGTCACAGATTGTTTTTGGTTTACAATGCAAATATAAGACAGAGCTTGCAACCAACCCGGGGGGGGGGACATTAAGGGGTGCACTGATCTTTTCCTTAACCTGAAAGCTTTAGGTAGGCCTCGGCACGGGACGAGTGAATTTATACAAATGTGCATGGTTTCTACCCTTAAAAGTTTTAGATAGGCCTCTGCATGTGATGAGTGTGAATTTGTACAAATGTGCATGGTTTCTATCGGCTTCCAGTTGTGAAACAATTATGACGCATTCCAGTTTTCTGCAATGCGGTTTAGAGCAGACACACGATTCCCTTCCAGTCTTTTTCCTCTACTCCTCTCCGTGCCTCAATGGCTTTAGACTCAATTTGTTTTCACCGTTAAGAGACGATAAATAGAAACTGATGGTCAACAGCTTAACTCTGCTCTTGGTTCAGACCTGAGAGATGAATCCTAGACCCAAACTTGCTGGAATCTGGATCGTTTCTAGTGCGAGAGAGGACGGGTTGAATGGGAAAGTAACAGGGAAAATATGCTTAGCATCCATTAAGAGCTGGGGACTGTCCTTCCTGTCTCGCATACGCAGCTGCAAAGAGAAGAACAGATCGCATTAGTGTCTTATTTAAACACAGGTAGTCCTCAACTTAACTACAGTTCCCTTAGTGACCGTTTGGAGTTACAACAGCACTGAGAAAAAAAAATGAACGATGATCTTTTTTTTTTTACACTTACGACCGTTGCAACATCCTCGTGGTCATGTGATCAAAATTCAGCTGCTCGGCCACGGACTCATATTTATGACGGTCGCAGTGTCCCGGGCGTCATGTGATCACTTTTTGAGACCTTTTGACAGGCAAAGTCAAGGGGAGGGAACAGCCCGATTCACTTAGCAACTGCGTTACTAATTTAAAGAACGGCAGTGATCCGCTTAACGACGGGAGGCAAGAAAGGTTGTAAAATTGGGGCCACATTCGCTGAACAAATGTCTCACTTAACAACAAAAAGGTTGGGCTCAATGATGGTCCTAAGTCAAGGACTACCTGTATAGTTCGACATTCTATCCAAGACTGTTTGAATTATATACATTTTTTTTAAAAAATAACCCTATTCTTATTTTTTTTTTCAAAAAAACAAATGACAAGATGTTGTTTAAAAGCAAATTTGCACTGCATTTACCCTGTACGCTGGTAGATACCGTATTTTCCAGCGTATAAGACGACTTTCTAAATCATGCAAATCTTCTCCAAAGTCGGGGGTCTTATACGCCGAGTCGTCTTATACGCCAGAAAATACCATATTTTCCGGCGTATAAGATGACTTTCTAAACCATGCAAATTTTCTCCAAAGTCGGGGGTCTTATACGCCGAGTCGTCTTATACGCTGGAAAATACGGTATTTTCCGGCGTATAAGATGACTTTCTAACCATGCAAATCTTCTCCAAAGTCGGGGGTCGTCTTATACGCCAGAAAATACGGTATTAAATATTCCTTTGAGGCACAGGCTTAAGGAAAGCAACGTTTTCGTGAATTGCAGCTGGTTGTTATTACCTGTATTGTCCGGATAAAAGACACAGACACTCTTTCTTCAAACTCATTAACGGGAGTATATAAGTTCAATACTTTCACAATCTAAAAGAGAGAGAGAGAAAAGATAATGCTAGCAGATTCTTGCGATTTAAGATAACCTTGATTGGCATTTTTTTGTACTGTGGGCACAACGACACACATCAAAAATGAAATTTACTTGCCCGCTCTCAAAGTGAAACACATACATGACACACACCTAAAACATACTATGTACAACATATGTATAGACCCACACCCCTACATATACGTAGCAAATAAATATTAAATACTGTCCATCTTGAATATATAATGGAAGGAGGAGGCTTGAGAGTTCACAAGGTTAATGAATCTTGCAATCTGGCTGAATCTGAATCTGGATGTTCTGCTACGGATACCACAAAGCCCCCTCGTCCCAGAAGGGAACAAGGAAAACAGGTTGTGGAGAGGATGTGTAGTGTCCCAGATAATCTTACGGATCCTGCTCAAACCCCAACCAATATTTTAAATTTAAGTCACAAGGAGATGTTAAACCGTGATGCGATTGCAACAGAATCGTTCCTAACTGAGACAAAATCTGCATTCAACTGAAATCTTAAATCACTGCAGGATTTTTTTTAAAGAAAAACAATCATCGTTGCTCACTTCTTCAAAGCAGTCCATCCTGTTTCAGTGGATAGCAACATTGGAATGCAAGTGGTCAAAATTATGCAAAACAGACATCACGCTGCGTTCCAAAGGATTAAAAAGAAATCCTTCTGTCTAAAACAGTGGTTCTCAACCTTTTTAATGCTGCGACCCCCAACCGGTCGTAAATCGAGGACTACTCAACGGTCGTAAGTCGAGGACTACTCAACTGGTGCAGCACCGTTTGCAGAATGGGACTTTTGGCGGGCTCAGCAGGGCAGAGACAGCCTGGACAATTCCTATTGGCTTTTGAAAGCCAATAGAATTAGACTCTATTCAAGAGAGTCTGTTCTATTGGCTTTCAAAAGTCAATAGAATAAAAGGGAGTAGCACAGCTAAGGAAAAGGGGGGGGGAAATGGCGGACTGCGTTGTTTGGCGACCCCCGTGAAATGGTCGTTCGACCCCAAATGGGGTCCCGACCCACAGGTTGAGAACCACTGCTCTAAAAGAACAAAGAGTGTCTTTCTGTTCTTCTCCCTGAAATCAATCCTGGAAACAAAACTCAGACCTTTGGTTTTTTTTTAAATGTCTCTCTTGAATGTCATCTACGCTTGGCAGACTCCTTTTCTATCCTGGCATTTTTATGTGCCTCGCCCTGCTGATCTCAACAGGCAAGGAACCCGAATTCCACCGGAAGAGCAAAATGGCAAAAGGCAGATCGTGCGGGCAACTCAGCCAGGGTGGTATTGGAAGGGACCTTGGAGATTTTCTACTCCACCCCCCCCCCCCCGTCCAAGCAGGAGAACCTATACCAGGGGTAGGCCACCTTGGCTCTTTTATGACTCCTGGACTTCAACTCCCAGAATTCCTGAGCCAGCCACGCTGAGGAGAAAGGGAGAGGTTTCCATGCTGAGCCATGCTGGCTCAGGAATTCTGGGAGTTGAAGTCCACGAGTCATAAAAGAGCCAAGGTGGCCTATCCATGACCTATACCATCTCAGACAAGTGACTGTTTAGCCCAGGGGTAGGCAACCTTGGCTTTTTTATGACTCGTGGACTTCAACTCCCAGAATTCCTCAGCCAGCATGGCTCAGCTTGGAAACCTCTCCCTTTCCCCTCAGCATGGCTGGCTCAGGAATTCTGGGAGTTGAAGTCCACGAGTCATAAAAGAGCCAAGGTTGACCACCCCTGCACTATACCATTTCAGACAAATGGCTGTCCAGTCTCTTCTTGAAAACTTCCGGTGTTGGAGCATTTACTGCTTCTGGAGGCAGGTTGTTCCACCGATTAATTGTTCTAACTGTCAGGAAGTTTCTCCTTAGTTCTAGGTTGCTTCTCCCCTTGATTAGTTTCCCTCTGTCGCTTCTTGTCCTGCCTTCGGGGGCTTTAGGGAATAGCTTGACTCCCTCTTCTTTGGGGCAGCCCCTGAGATATTGGAACGCTGCTATCATGTCACCCCTAGTCCTTCTTTTCACTAGATAAGACATTCCCAATTCCTGCAAATGTTCTTCATACATTCTAGCCTCCAGTCCCCTAATCATGTTTGTTGCTCTTTTCCAGGGTTACCTGGGCGGTAGTCAACGCGTGGCACATGGAGCAGATGGCCCCCGCGTCCTCATCGGTCTTCTTTTTCACCTGCAGCAGCTGAGCGGCCTGGATCAACGGCTCCAGGGTCTCCTTGGCGCCGCTGGTCATGAGGTTTTTGTCACGAAGCCATTCTTCCAGCTGGCTTACATTGTACCTGCGGGTTGGAGGTGTTTTGAAAAAAAAAATAAATCAAAACCTTTAGCCACTTTTTTCAGTCTGTCTGTACAAGTGGAAATGGTTTTCTTTAAGGCATTCTTGCCCAGTAGCCCTTCAAGAGGTATTCTGTTAATTATTAACAAAAATGTTTGTTAACGAGGGAAACAGCAGCTCCTTGTTGTGGACAAGAATGCTCGGGGTATCTTGAGAAGACTAAACACAGAATGAAAACTCCCTAATTCCTATTCTTTCTGGTACTTAGTGTGAAGTTTGCTAGAGGGAAGTGTTTTTTTTTTCCCTCCATTTGTCTTTTTTTTTATAGTTAATGGGGAAAACCGGGTTTTGAGTCAGAAAAACAGAAAAACATACTAGTCTGCTCAGGAATTCTGGTCTTTTAAATAGGCTAGTCAATCAGACTATTTGTAGGCTTTCTCTGCCACACCTGTCCTTTGTTTTATGTTTTCCCCCCCCCCCATTTCTAACAATTTGTAAGTCACCAAGAACAGCCAAGAGTCAGGCGGCATTTAAATGGTTGTTATCAACCATTGTTGGTTACATAATTAATGTTACATTAATTAATTAATCATTAATTAATGTTACATTAATGTTATCATTATTCACATATGAAAAGGAAGTTATTTGGCAGGGTATCCCATTTAGAGTGTAACATTAGACTTAAAACTACAGGTAGTTTTTGTTTAGCGAACTGCTCTGTTTAGTGACTGTTCATCTGGGGGATGCTTTCGGAAATATTCATTCCTGCATCGTTCATTTATTGTGTGTAGAAATATAGGGGCCGACCTTCACAGCTAGAGATCTGCCTAGGTCAGTGATGGCGAACCTTTTAGAGACCGAGTGCCCAAAAACTGCCCCGTCCCCTGGCCCGCCCCCACTCTGCCCCCCGCTCTGCCCACCCACAAGCCACTCACTACAGACCGCTCAGGCAACCTTGCAGCGCCATGGTGGTCACACCCTCTGCCCGCACCCCACAGCATCATCTGCACGTGATGGGGCGTGAGAGTGGAGTTTTGCCCCTGCTTCCCGGCTGCCATGTGCTTGGCTGCACTGCTCTGTGTGGGCTGTGCCTGGGGGAGCCTCTCCTCCAGGCAGACTGCTGGTGAGGAGGGGGTTGCGGGGAGGCAGGGCTGGGGCAACGGCATGCATGCCCACAGAGAGGGCTCCTCGTGCCACCTCTGGCACGCGTGCCATAGGTTCACCACCACTGGCCTAGGTTGTCAACACTGCAAATATTGTATATTCTTGCTTTGACAATATGCAGAACTGTCTGGTATATTTGGGGTTAATACAGAGCAGAAGGGGGTGGGGGCAAAGCCCGGGAAAGAAAGAGAAAGAAAACCTTTGACCTTCACACTGATTGGATAATGTGATATATGACAGCTAATTTAGGGAGGGAACAAGCCGATAAATTAACTGCTCAGAGGAAGAGAACATAGATCTTAGCATAACAAACCTCTGTTAGGCCTGTGCTGACATTTTGTTAACAACAAATGACTTTTAGGAAAATTAATGCCTGGAAGTTCTTTGAAGTGTTTCATTAGCCGGAATCATAACATAGGTACTCCAGCCCAGGAAGAACTTCACCTTAAGAACATAAGACAATCAGCTGACTCAAAATAATTCCCTGCTCAGCCAAGCAGTGTGTCTCAAAGGATTTAATATACTGAAAGAGATCTCCCCACCTAATCTGCATTCCTTTGCTCCAGGAGCACATGTCTTTTCGCAGGAGAAGGTTATTGAGGGTCACGGCCCCAATGATGTAGAACATCTGCTTGACCACCTGCTTGATCAGCTCAGGATCCATGCCGTGCTGGCACATGATGGAGTGGAAGGTGTTCAGCTGACGGATGATGGAGTCCAAGGTGTAGGTCCCTTCGTCGGCAATGCTAGAGGTTCTCTTGCGTAGGCCGGTGGGTTTCACCCCGGACACTCCTTGGATGGTTTCATGCTCCAGCATTCCTGAAACTGAGGAAAGGGATCATTAATTCAGTTGAGGGAGGCTCTTTCTGAAAACAAAGCAAAACAAAACCAAAAGAAGCAGGAATAAACAAACGTCAAGCCACACTGTCAATGCTGCTAACATTGGATGTTCTTGCTTTGACAACATATGGAGATGCAGCCATTTTCCTTATGTTTTACTCTTAGAATTAGAGTTGGAATTAGATGATACTGGGGGGGGGGAAGAATGTGTATGGAAGTTAGTTAAACATAACAATATTGTAATAGTGTGAGAACCAAAGTTTTTTGAAATAAGAGGTAAAAAGCGGCGGGTTGGAGAACAGGAAGGAAAGCCTGCATTTCAAGCTAATTGGAGAATGTGATTTATGATGGTTAATTAGAGGAGAGAATTGTGCTTTGATACTATGTGCTCAGGGGAGGGAAATTCAGATTTTGGCTTTGCTATGTACGTGCCGATAATATGCTTCTTGAATAAAAGATTCTTTAAGGTAAACAATGCCTCAAAGTTCTTTGAAGAGTTTCATCTGAGGGAACCATGACACACGCTGCTTATTCGAGCAAGAAAGTAAGAACACAGTTAACGAGAAAACAACTATGGCACAGGAACATAAGCCAAGCTGAAACGCAAGTGCCATATTAAAAAAAGAAGAATCTCGTGAAACAGGCAAGTCTTCACTAAATGGCAAGAGACAAACCATCCTGGGGTAGGACCAGCCACCTTAAAAAGAGTTACTAAAGCACAGCACAGAATAGCTACCGCTGAAAAACATCTTTGGCATTTGGCCCGCTTTCAACAGCCAGATGTGCCGGGTCCTGCAAGCGGGACATAGACATCATAAAGAGAGGTAGTCCTTGACTTACGGCCACAGTGGAGCCCCAAATTTCTGTTGTTAAGTGAGACAGCCCATAAGTGAATTTTGCCCTATTTTACCACCTTTACCACCACAGTTGTTAAGTGAATCACTGCAGCAGTTAAGTTAGTAAGATTGTTGTTAAGTAAATCGGGCTTTCCCATTGACTTGGTTTATCAGAAGGTTGCAAAGGGCAGGGGTAGGCAACCTCGGCTCTTTTATGACTCATGGACTTCAACTCCCAGAATTCCTGAGTCATAAAAGAGCCGAGGTTGCCTATCCCTGCAAAAGGGGATCCCACGACCCCGGGACACTGCAACCGTCATAAATGTGAGTCAGTTTCCGAGCATCTGAATGTGAATCACATGACTATGGAGATGCTGCAGTGGTCGTAAGTGTGCAAAGGATCTTAAGTCACTTTTTTCAGTGCCGTTGTAACTTCCAACGGTCATTAAATGAGCTGTCGTAAGTCCAGGGCTGCCTGTAGTAGCTACAGACAGCCATAGCTGAATTTGCTTAATAACCCTAAGCACGTGGCAAAGTAACTTCTGAACTTGGCTTACACAATTGACACAAAACGAAATTCTTCCGTTGCACAGTAATATCAACGGACATTATCGGAGGAAAGTCCAAATGATGAAAATGACTTTCTTAATGAGAAAAAAAAAAAAACTCCACACACAGGTTTCTCTCTTCTGTCATTTAGTTTCACCTTACCAATCATTGGTTGCAAAATATTCTCCAGAACTCGAACCAGCTGCTGGTAAATCTGGATGGCCAGGTCACTTAGCACTTGTCTGTACTCAGCAAGGTCGAAATTAGTCAGGCAATGTTCATTCTGACGAGGTGTGTTATGCTTCATAAACCCCTGCAAGTACGGGGGGGGGGGGAAATAGCCAAGTTAGTATTAATGTATTTTATGTTGTCGTATTCAAACAGGTGAGGAGGATAATAACTTTTTTAAAACATCCTTTTGATGAAGAAAAGCATGGTTAACTTTCTTTAAGCCTGCTAGCGGAATGAGGACATGACCACTGAAGTAAAGACTAGGATAGAGAAAGCTGGAACAGCATTCTTCAAAATGAAAAAGGTCTTCTGCAGTCGCGACCTAAGCCTAAGACTGAAAATCAGGCTTGTCAGATGCTATATTTTTTCTATCCTGCTCTATGGAGTAGAGAATTGGTCTCTGACAGAAGGCCACCTAAGAGACTGGAAGCATTTGAAATGTGGATTTACAGGTGGCTGTTACATATAAGCTGGGTTGACAAGATCAGAAATGAGGAGGTGATGAGCCGCCTGGGAAAGCCAAGGGAAATTATCAAAACAATTAAAAAACGAAAATTAGAATATTTCGGACATGTGATGTGACACCCAGAAAAACACAGCATGCTCCATTTAATCCTCCAGGGAAAGATTGAAGGCAAACGAGGTCCAGGCAGAAGAAGAACATCGTGGCTTCAAAATCTGAGGGACTGGTTTGGACAAAACTCAGCAGCACTTTTTCGTGCGGCTGCTGATAAAAACAGGATCGCCAACATGATCGCCAACATCCGATAACGGATATGACACAAAAAGAAGAAGCGGAATGAGGCCTCACTCCCACTTCAAACATTCAAAGCGCTTTCACCAACGGAAATAAACCAAAATGGGAAACTTACTTCTTCACCGCTATATTGCTTCAAACAGTGCAAAAATCGGCACGTATTGGACAGCCAGAAAGAGACCGTTTCAAAGTCATCGCCTCTTTTCTAAAAGCAAAAATATATGAACAGTAATAATGAAAAGGCAATGTGCATTAAAAGAGGATTAAAATGCAAGGTTATTGATAACGGAATATTACTTTCGCTAAATTAAAAGGTGCAGCACTTCCACATTGCATTAGATTCTGCACAGATTTCTGCGTGCCTCTCTTTGACTGTCTATGGAGATTCTCAGTCATCCAGGTCATGGTTGTCCCAAAAGTGTTGTTGTTGTTGTTGTTTTCCAAAAGTTAACTGGACTTTTGTTTTTCCTTGAAGACATTTCACTTCTCATCCAAGAAATTTCAGTCAGAACTGAAGGAGCTTCTTGGATGAGGAGCGAAACGTCTTTGAGGGAAAACAGAAGTCCACTTGTCTTTTTAAAAAAGCGCCTCTGGGACTCTCCATTTCTGCATCATGGAATCTGTGCCACGGATGGAGATGGCACTCGTTGTCTTTTATTCTTCCAACAGAAAAAATACTTCAAATGCCTGTCGTGTTTTCATAACACAGTGATGGTGTAACCATCTGATTTCGAGACAAGCTCATCAGCTGTTAATTTTTTTAATAAACTCCGGACTGACATTTCAATTGAAACCTGTAAACTGACCTTCAAAATTTTTTTGATGCCGTTAATCGTAGAAGTCAGCAAGGACCTCACTTTCTGATCATCGTTCAGGTAGTCGGCATGGCGGATGCACATGAACAAAATGTAAGCTGGCAGCCCTGGGATGAGATTCACAGCCACTCCCCGAGGCTTCAGATCTGAGGGAGAAGTCACAAAGAGGAACACCGGAATTCACAGACCTCTGTGTTGAAAGGCAAAGGCTTCCCCTGCCCAATCATCCCCGACTCTAGGGGGCGCTGCTCATCTCCGTTTCTTAGCCAAGGGAGCCAGAATTGTCCATAGACATTTCCGGGGTCATGTGGCCAGCCAAAGGTGCACGGAACACTGTTACCTTCCCACCAAAGTGCCACCTATTTATCTATCTGTGTTTCGAATTGCTAAATGGGCAGGAGCTGGGGCGAGTGACGGGTGCTCATCCCATCAAGCGGCACCTGGGTCTCAAACCTGGTCTGTCAGCTTTCAAGCTGACAAGCTCTGAGCCATTGTGCCCCCTATATATTGTATCCCTGTACTTAGCATGCCGTAATAAAACTGCAGAGGGTCAGAAGTGGCTTAAGGCAGAAGGCCCCAACCTTTGGAGCACCAGGGACCGGTTACATCAGTGGTTCTCAACCTGTAGGTCGGGACCCCATTTGGGGTCGAACAACCATTTCACGGGGATCGCCAAACAACACAGTCCGCCTTTTTTTCCCCCTTTTCCTTAGCTGTGCTACTCCCTTTTATTCTATTGGCTGCTGAGCCCGCCAAAAGTCCCATTCTGCAAACGGCGCTGCACCAGTTGAGTAGTCCTCGACTTACGACCGGTTGAGTAGTCCTCGACTTATGACCGGTTGGGGGTCGCGGCATTAAAAAGGTTGAGAACCACTGGGTTACATGGAGAGAGGTTTTTGCATGGACCAGAAGGGGCGTGGTTTTGTGTGCTGCCTGCATCCCGCTGATAGGGCTTTGCTTGTTTGTGTGGCCTGGTTGCTGGCATGATGCGGCCCAGTATTGGTCCGTGGACCGGGGGTTGGGGACCCCTGGTTTAAGGCAACTTGTCCTGCCTTAGGCATGAAGCCAACCGCGGCACTCAGCCAGTGCCACTTAGCCCTAGGGGGGAGGCAATGGCAAGCCATTTCTGAAAATGCTGCCAAAAACTTGTCCAGCCAGTTTCAAGGAATCAAGACTCTCAAAGGCAAAATAATTTTTCAAAAGTCTTTTCAAGAACTAATACTTCTCTGTTCTTTTTAAATGGACGCTGTTGATTCTGTTCCAAGTTTGTCTTCCTTTGTGCAATCACCAATTTAAAAAAAAATTATCTGGGCTTATTATAGAACAGAAGAGCATAATGCTATTGAAAGACAAAAGGGATCATGCTGTGCAGTAGACTAACAATTAAATTGTACATAATGGCAAAAGCAACGTATATTTGCAAAACCACCGCTCGGTGCATTTTATAAGCAGAAAGGCCTCTCACCTAAAATAAGATTCTTAACAAGTTTGGGTTCATCTTCTTTCTTGTATTCTAACATGCCTTGGAAGTCTTTTTCTTTCCTTGGGATATTCACAGGATGTATCGGCTCATCAATGATTTGTCCAGGTGAAATGTTCTCCATGTGGCCCACTAAATTAAGGAAAAGAAGAGAGAACGGGACGTGAACAAAAGCAAAATTTGATCCAGAAAGATGGCATTGAACTGTGGAGTTATCTTCCTGAGAGCTAAGAAATTAGCTATAATCCATTAGGAGAATTAGTTCCTGAGAAAGTACACGTTGGTTATGAACTACCTATAAAGCTCTACAACAGGGGTGTCCAACCTTGTCAACTTTTTAAAGTTCAACTTAAAAATGCTGGCTGGAGGGTTCTGGGAGCTGAGGTCCGCAAGTCTTAAAGTTGCCAAGGTTGGGCAAAGAAAGAAAGGAAGGAAGGAAGGAAGGAAGGAAGGAAGGAAGGAAGGAAGGAAGGAAGGAAGGAAGGAAGGAAAGAAAGAAAGAAGGAAAGAAGGAAAGAAAGAAAGAAAGAAAGAAAGAAAGAAAGAAAGAAAGAAAGAAAGAAAGAAAGAAAGAAAGAAAGAAAGAAAGAAAGAAAGAAAGAAAGACTTGGCTATGAATCTATAGAATCCTCTTAAAAAAATATAAGAGTAATTTTTTCTTTTAAAAAAAAGGTAAAGGAATGCCCTCACAAAACAAAGTTAAAATCAGAAATGTGCTCTGGAATGCTGATTGGCTAGAAACTTAACCTGGCCTGGTGTCAGTCTAGGACAATACATATAAGACAGAGCAACTGGAAAAACCGCTAAGGTTAACCGGCAGCAGATCAGTGATAGAAAAGCTTCTAGAATCCAGAGTTTCTACATAGCTCTGACATTTTCCTGGTCTGCCCGCATACCTTGATTAATTCAGGAACTCGGGAGCTGAAATGCACTGGCACAGTCAACACACTGGCCTATATTTAGCGAGGCAAAGGGAAGGCAATGATTTGATCTCAGCCACTCCTCTAATGTAATCTTTATGAGAGCACTTTTTCGCCCTCAGGTGTGTCTTGGTGAAAATGCCTTAACGAAGGGTGAAATACAATCAGACGGGATTATGAAGTAAACCAAGAGCAGACCTCGGGAACTGTTTCATTCAATTGCCTTATGTGGCAAAATACAACATCTGGTCTTCTACAAAGATTAATTAGTTGGGGGAAAGCATCTTTTTCTCTTGCACCAATGTTTATTTTATTTATTTTTATTATTTATTAAATTTGTTTGCTGCCCATCTCACGGCAAGATGGTTTGCTCCCCACTCCCTTCTAGCACTGAAGATGTTACCTAGTTGGGTCATGAAACGTCTGCAAGAAAACAGCCCAGCTCAGAAAGCACTGAGGACCCTCACAATTTAACCCTGAGCTACAAATATTCTCTCCTATCAGAAATTCTATCTTATGTAGCTGTTACAAGGGAAGGATCCAAAAGTCAATATATTACTGTTATAACCCCAAATATCAAGTGCTCTCATATTCAAAAGAACAGGAGTGCTGATTAAGGAACATTTGCTTTTGGCAAAAAATGCTATCACTTGGTAAATAAAAAAAAATATGCTGAATGTTTATCTTCCCTTAATCAGCTTGCATTCAGCTTCTAGGACAATCTGTGCTGTTCTTGTGTCCAATCTTAATCATTATTGCAGAATACCACTGTATTTTTCATCAGCAACATCAGAAATCCTTGCCTCAGATACATAGTAAAATACGTCTGTATTTATATTTAAAAACAGAAACCGTTTTGGTCGCAGGCAAATACTGTACCTTCAAGCTCATCAATTTTTTTGGCGAAAACCTTCAGCTGCTTTTTCAGCTTCCGAACTGTCTTGTCCTGTTTCTCCAGCTGTTCCATTAAATCCTACCCAACAAAATTGAGGACAGAACGGGTGAGAGGCTAAAAAAAGGACCCAAGAGGTGACAGACAAAACTGAACCGGTGCTGTTAGTGCTATAAGAGAAACTCAGAACTAGCTGGAAAGCGATGCCACCATCTGGCTAACATCAGCAAGCCTGCGCCTGGCCTAGAACAGAGGACGTTATGTAAAAAAATCTTGCTTTCTAAGAGAGACTGAAATGCATGCAGCATGACAAGAGGATTGATGTGACTCCGTTCAAGGGACTCAACAGATCCAATATCCTGGTTTGGGACAGATTCTCTCCCGCAGGACCCGGGATTCATATTCAAACCTTCAGGAACTCAGGCCTGTTTCTGTTCTGGATGGTTTTGCCGAGACAAAAATGTTTCACTCCCCCAAAACTTAAGGAAGTACAGCTTGGTTTTCCAGACTACCGAGTTATGAAAAGTCCTTACCAAGTTCTCATTGGTCAGGCGGGTGATTTCGTGCTGCAGACTGGCCTCTATCCGGGCTTCTGGGGGCAGCTGGAGGTTCTGGGCCAGCAACTGCTGCTGGCGGTTATTCTCCTCCTTTAGACTCTGGATCTCTCCGCGAAGGGCCTCCAGGTCATTCTCGTGGCTTCTTTTCTGAGCCTGCAGCTGAGATTCCAGAAGCCTACAAGAAGCCAATTGAGGAAGGCCAAGAGAGACGGTGGGGGGGATCAGGAAGAAGCAGGAAAGGCACGTTTTAAAGACTTCTCATCACAGATTGAGCATTTCAACGGCTGCTGACAGGAGTAAGCGACAAAACCATCAGGGAAGGAAAGAAAACCAGAAGAACGTCCTTTAAACCCTTTTGAGTGACTTGAGGCTGAAACGTTGCCCGTGCAAACTTGACCCATGCAGAACGAGGGCGGATCCAGCACGGGCATGCTGGAGGTCCAGATTTTCTTTCAGGGACTGCTGGACTACAAAACTATTAAGGAGCAGATCCTTCTCAATATCAGCCAATTTAAGATGCGTGGACTTCCAGTTCCTGGAACTGTCCTCCCAGCAATTCTAGGTGCTAAACGCCACACAAAGCTTAAGGCTGCAGTAAATGCTATTTTACACCCACTGAAAAGAGGATGCTTTAGAGGGGAAAAGTCTAGGGTGCACTTTTCCCCTCTAAAGGGGAAAAGCTTTGTAACAATTAGTTAACAAGACTGCATAGAGCACCTACACTGAAGTTTACGACAAGTAAATACGATTTGGTTATTACTACATTTTTATCGTCGTAGGAGGTATTTCGATTTTCTGCCTCAAACGCCTAACATCTTAGGCCAGGGGTAGGCAACCTTGGCTCTTTCTTTTATGATTCATGGACTTCCAACTCCCAGAATTCCTGAGCCAGCATGGCTCAGCTTGGAAACCTCTCCCTTTCCCCTCAGCATGGCTGGCTCAGGAATTCTGGGAGTTGAAGTCCACGAGTCATAAAAGAGCCAAGGTTGCCTACCCCTGTCTTAGGCTAATGCTGGTCTCTAAACCCCAGCGAACTATTAAGTAGCTCTGGCCATTAAGGGACCCATCAATCATTTCTACAAACAAAAGGGACATGTCTATTAAGCAGTTCCTCTTCTCCTTCAGGATTATTCTGCTCCGAGAGAAACAGAAGTATCCCAACTAAAGCAAAAATGACCCATGAGGACCAGAGGATCTTCAGAACTTCGGTTTTAAAAGGAATGTTATTGCTGACCCAAAGGCCTACAGAACAACTAATAACAACAACAAAAATCCCGTGCTACTGATTCAGTGCACAACCTTGGGCAGGTGGACCAATGATTTATTCACCAGGTGTCAATTGTAGGAGCAATGAATGAATGAATGAATGAATGAATGAATGAATGAATGAATGATCATGATCAATGCTGGCACTGCATTTCCTACAAACAGGTGCATGCCTCAGTTAGGCTACCTATAATCAGACCATCCCACAAGAAAGGCTGAGCGCCAAAGAATTGAGGCCTTTGAACTATGGTGCTGGAGAAGACTCCTGCGAGTCCCCTGGACTGCAAGGTGATCCAACCGGTCAGTCCTAGAGGAGATCAACCCCAACTGCTCTTTAGAAGGCCAGATCCTGAAGTTGAAACTCAAGTACTTTGGCCACCTAATGAGAAGGAAGGACTCACTGGAGAAGAACCTAATGCTGGGAAAGATGGAGGGCAATAGAAGAAGGGGACGACAGAGAATGAGGTGGCTGGATGGAGTCACTGAAGCAGTAGGCGTGAGCTTAAATGGACTTCAGAAGATGGTAGAGGACAGGAAGGCCTGGAGGAACATTGTCCATGGGGTCGCGATGGGTCGGACACGACTTCGCAATTAACAACAACAACAACAAATCAGACCATCAGCCTTTCAGGGTTTAAATATGCCTAAGCAGATCAGCTAATAGCTGCATCGACTAAGCACGCGAAGGTAAATGTGGATAATTTACCTTTCATTTCTTTGCCATTTGCTCTAGAACCTTCTAGCAATTCTAGAACGCGAGGACAAGAAGCCAAAGCTGCAGAGCCACCCCTGCTTTCCCTGCAGTGTAGACCACCACCCCCCCAGTTTAACTTCTTGCAAACTTACAAAAAGATGCAGTTAAGTGCACGTGTTTTGTTAGCAGTACAAGAAAAGGAAAAAGAGACCAGTTAAATTGGCGTTCATGGCCAAAGCAGCATTTTATATTGAGCTTAAAAAAATGGAACTATCCGTATCGCTCAGCTACAAAAACAGCACAAAGCAGTCAAGTTTCGGAGAATATAAACGTTATATTTAAAAACTGACTTCCCCATTGTCCAGTTAAGTGGATGCATTCAATGGCTATATTTACAGAACAGGGTGTACATACTGTGTTGAGATCATTTTCAAAATGGCCTGAAAAATCTGATTTTTTTGAAAGGGTGTTTTTCTCGGCAGAATAGCTCATTTGCAATGACATGCAAATCATATGTTTAATTCAGTGGTTCTCAACCTTTTTAATGCCGCGACCCCCAACCAATCGTAAGTCGAGGACTACTCAACCGGTCGTAAGTCGAGGACCACTCAACTGGTGCAGCACCGTTTGCAGAACGGGACTTTTGGCAGGCTCAGCAGAGCAGAGACAGCCTGGACAATTCCTATTGGCTTTTGAAAGCCAATAGAATTAGACTCTATTCAAGAGAGTCTATTCTATTGGCTTTCAAAAGCCAATAGAATAAAAGGGAGTAGCACAGCTAAGAAAAAGAGGGGGGAAAATGGCGGACTGCGTTGTTTGTCCACCCCCGTGAAATGGTCGTTCGACCCCAAATGGGGTCTTGACCCACAGGTGGAGAACCACTGTGTTTAATTATATGTATGTTTCATCCTGCCAATTCTAGGAGAGGTACTGGGCTATGCATTTTGAAATTGATCTTTCTGCACTGGACTGTGCATTCCTTTTGGAGATCAATAATTAAAGTTTGATTTGCCAGCTTTTCTAGCTGACACCAATCGGCCCACTTTCTCCATTAATACCGCAAACCCCCAGTATAAATTATTTCCCCGTCTCTGCTCTGCAATGGAGATCGTCCAGGCAGTGAAGCCAGCAGGATAAGCACCAGGATTCACCTTATTTCCAAAATAAAGAAACAAAAATTCCACAGGAGAAGAATGTGTTAATGCCAGAACAGTTGGTCCTCCTATTCTTCCCATCTAGTAGAAAATGTGGGCAGATTTTGCATTTACTGACTGTGGTGGACGTGTTTCCATCATATGCTCGCTGGTCTTCTCCTGATGAATACAGAAACGCCAGTACTTATAAATGAATTGTGCCTCTGCATTTAAATTTTTGCAGCTTGGGTCTTTCCCCGTGGCCATATCAATCCTAACACTGGACTTCTGGCTTAGCTGCCCAAAGTCATATTGAGCCAGCAGTATGTAAATCCTATTAATACTTTAATGAAGATGTTTGGATCGAATGTAATTGCCAAAAGCAGCTCCGCAGCTTGTTAGTGACTCAAGAAGGCAAGAAAGAAAGAAAAACAGCAAAAAAACACCCCATCCTGAGAAATCTTGTAACCTGTTGGCTTGTTTTAGCCCTTCATATACCAGCCACAGTTCGCCATCCTCGTTCAGCAAATGACAGTCTTGAGGAGATGATCTTCCAAGCAAAATGTGTTTTTTTTTTAAATGCAGAAACAAAACAAAAAAGAAGGGACACGTGATGGAAATGATGGGACATGCTAAGTAAAAGGACAATGCAAGCTAAGAGTGTAATTAGGGGACAAAAAGAACTATCTATTTTGGTCTCAGTGTATATAAGTCCAAGCTGTTTACTCAACCAATCTTGTACAAATTTATTGAGAATCAAACCCCAAGATCCTAATGCCTAAATTTAAACAAAAAATGCAACCTTCCTAACTTGTATTTGTGTAATCTTATCTAAATCTACTGGTTTCACTGGGACTTGCTCCAATGTAAATATAGAACTACGGTATCTATTACTTCTATTGCTATAGAAGTTATGCAGTTGTAAAAGGTATCCTGAAAGCAATCCAGATAATAAGATGTGTTCAGATAAGGCTGCTTTATTCCAGATTCATCAAATCCGAGCATATAACCCGATAAGGATTTTACACAGCACAAATAGTTGAAGAAGGGAAGAATCTTCTCAGATTTACTTATTTGCTGTGACAGGAAACCAATGTAATATTTCTGGGCTATGATGCCAATCAGAAAATATTTTCACTGCTGTTCTGTCTAAGGGCAGGTCTGATACTATAACCAAAGTTGGCAAGGCAGTGCCCTACCTTATCTACCAGCCTTCTTTTATCCCTGGAACAATTTGGTATTTTTTAAAAAAAAGCTTTCCCCCCCCCCTTTAATACAAGAATACTGAAAGATAAAAACCAAGGCATACAATTAAGCTATATTTTCATATGAGGGTAACACGCAATTTAGCAAATTTCAGAACCGTGTATCCAAACCACAAAATGCTTTTTAAACATCAAATGCAAGCTTATTTAAGGTTGATTTTCCTATGAAAGCTGAAGGCACTAAAAACCATCATGCTCTTTAGAAAGATTAAAACTCAAGGACCCAAAATGTGGATGTTTAAAAATCAAGATGTATGGAGTGAGAATGCTGGAGGTGGTGAAAAAAAGTTTTGAGTTCAAAATACCCTGTTTGGAGGTTGAAACCACTATCCCACATTCAAGATGGGCTGTTATGATCATTTTGGAAGTAGTTTAGGGCTCAGGGTATTATATCCTAAGTTACAAGCACTTCCAAATATGCTATTTCAAATGTAAATGAGGCTTTTCAAATTCAAAGCAATTCAAAGCAATCCCACAGGGCAGTGATGGCAAACCTTTTAGAGACTGAGTACCCCAAAACCGCCCCCTGCCCCTGCTCCGCCTCCCGTCCTACCTGCCCCACCCCTGCCCCGCCTGCCTGCAGGACCACGCACTGCCTCCATGGCCTGACGCAGATCACCCAGGTAGCCCTGCAGCGCCATGGCAGCCACGCCCTCCGCCCATACCCCGCAGCATCATCTGCATGCTATGGGGCGCAAGAGCGGAGTCTTGTCCCTGTTGCCTAGCTATATCCTTGGCTGCGCTGCTCCATGCAGGCCACGCCCGGAAGCGAGTCTCCTCCAGGGGGGCTGCTGGTGAGGAGGGGGCTGTAGGGGGAGGCAGGGCTGAGGCAACGGTGCGCGTGCCCACAGAGAGGGCTCCGAGTGCCGCCTTTGGCACATGTGCCATAGGATCACCACCACTGCCATAGGGTGCCTGGGTGGTGGTGGTGGGGGGAGACAGAAAGACAGAGGAAAAAATAGAGATTAATGTTGGGAAACAAAAAGGAGACAAGATTTTTATTCGTGTACCTGTTTGTCTCTTTCAGTCCAATATAAGCTTGAGCGATCTCCCCTTTGTCTTTCATCTTCTGAACGTCTTCCAGAAGAATTGTAGAATCCGTCATGGTGTTCTGGGAATAATCAATGGAAGAACAAATGAGGAAGAGTCAATAGTAAATGCTTAAATGCACGTTTGTCTCAGCAGCAAATAAAACTGTATAATATAATCATTATTTAGTTATCATGAATGTAGACATGTCTATGCTGCTCTTCCAGAGGAGTTGCTAAAACAATTTGCTCTAAGTGGGTTGGACTAACAGTAAGAGGTGGCTTGAGTCCAAATCTTAATTGAGTCGTGAACTTCCCTAGTTGATCTTTGGCCCAGTCATACTCTCTGTCTCAATTACATATCCCAAGGCTGTTTCAAAGCTGTGACAGATACAGCAACACAATAAAAAAGTTTCTGGTTGGAGGAGAAAAGATGGCAGAACTGGAGGTAGAGCGAAAAGGGGGAATCAGCCCAGAATCCCTACATAATCACAAGAAAACTAAGTCCACGCCACACACCCCCTTGAGTGCTGTTGACCCTTATCTTAGCAGGTATTGACCATTGCTAGGGAAGATTCCTGCATATAGACTTTAAACAATATATCAGTCAAAACTGAACCTTCACGTGTGGGCCTGATCTTTCTTATTTAGCTAAAGGGCTATAGGGGGACCATCTTTTTCTTTTGGACATTCTTACTTTAGGAAAGCTACTGCCAAAGTAACAAAATACCACAAGTATAATGTCCCGCAGATCAAAACATCCCTTGTTACTTTCACGGGCTCAATTCAATGGCTTGCTTGAATGCATTAACATGGACACATGGCAGCTTACGAGGGTTCCAGCATTAAAAATAAAATTATCCGCCACAACGTTACCTTATCATCCTGGTAATCCATGTGCAAGCAGGAAAATAAAGAGATGGACTAGTTATCTAACAGACATACTCAATAATTAAAGCTGATGGATGAATAACTGCAATGCATCAGCAATCGTTGTATTTGATATCCTAACACAGTGGTGGCGAACCTATGGCCCGGGTGCCAGAGGTGGCACTCAGAGCCCTCTCTGTGGGCACATGCGCCATCGCCCCAGTCCTAGGCCTTCAGCGGGGTTTTATAAAACCTTTTCGCTTTAGGCCTCCGCTGCCATGTGCAAAAAAAAAAAAGTTCAATCAGTCAATTTCAACTTCTTGCGGGAAAAAAAAAGATCTCGCAAAGTTGGGATTGATTGAACTTTTTAGTCCCACCCAGTCTGCTGTTATCACCGCAGCCATGCCCACCCAATGGGCCACACCCAGCCAGTGGGCCACGCCCAGCCAATGGGCCACGCCCACCCGGCACTCGACAATGCATAAGTGGATTTTGGATTGCAGTTTGGGCCCTCGGTCTCTAAAAGGTTTGCCATCACTGTCCTAACACGTTTCAAGGGAAACTGTATCTTGCAGGAAATTGCTAATCTCTAAAACAGGGGTCCAGTCTTGGCAACTTTTAAGACCTGTGGACTTCAACTCCCAGAATTCTCCAGCCAGCATGATTGGCTGGGGAATTCTGGGAGTTGAACTCCACAGATTTTAAAGTTGCCAAAGTTGGACATCCTTGCTCTCAAGCTTCAGCAAGGCCACTGGCAGATGACTGTGGCAATCAAATGTTAAGGAACTGAGCACGCTGCCCACTTCCCCTCCAACATCCCATAAATTAATACAACAGTGGGTGAAAACCAATGGTTACTCAATCATACTCAATGGGGAGAAGGCATAGCTTTCTGCAGGGGAAGAGATTACACACATATCCTGAGCCGCTAATGAGCTACAGAAGAAAATCCATGCTAGCATTTGGTTTGATCCTAGATCAGGGGTAGGCAGCCTTGGCTCTTTTTATGACTCGTGGACTTCAACTCCCAGAATTCCTGAGCCAGCCTGGCTCAGCTTGGAAACCTCTCCTTTTCCCCTCAGCATGGCTGGCTCAGGAATTCTGGGAGTTGAAGTCCATAGTCATAAAAGAACCAAGGTTGCCTACCCCTGTCCTAGATTGTACTTTGGAAGAAAAGAGGCAATGTAACCCGCTCTGGGGCTACCTAACATGAACATGGATGATACAACCAGATTGGTTTCTGAATCCACCTTGGGCTGCACTGCCTCCTTCTGGCTCATCAGCTGAGACCTCAGGATGAGAACTTCCTCCTTGCGGACCTCCAACTCTTCACTGACAGATGTCATCTGGTCCAAAAGGACCCTGTATGCTGGAGCACCAGGCATGGTGACATCTGGAGCACTCTTTTCTATCAGAGCCTTTCTCAACTCGTTCAATTCGTTCTTCAGTTTCTTATTCTCTGATTCGAGCTCTTGACGCTGCGGGCGATAAAAACAATTGTCCTCATTCACCATCCTAATAGAAATCAAGATCAAGAAGCCAATTTTAGTTACTAATGGGTTTGATAAAAAGATGCTCTGACTTTTATGTATATCACAAACAAAGGTCTACTTTAATCCAGGTGAAAACCCCTATGGTTTCCAGTTAATGTAATTCTGTGAATTGATGAACTGATGAAGTCAGAACAGACCTGTCTTTGTGTTTATATTGTCTGGATTTTTTTCCACACAGAAGGAATGGCAATCCGTTAAAATGCACAGGATGGAAACATTTAGACTAAGGTTTTTCAAACTTGGTGACTTCAACTTTGTCCACTGTGTGGACTTCAACTCCCAGAATTCTCCAGCCAGCCAGATTCCTGGGAGTTGAGCTCCACATATCTTAAAGTCGCCAGGCTTGAAAAATACTGGCTTAAAACATGCCAAGAGTGGAAAAGTTGACTAGAAATGTTGGTACTTCCAGGTATACTGATGTTTGCAAATTCCATGTACTTTTGTAAGTGTGCCTCAGTCTAATATTTAAAATAACCCAAGCACTACTGGCTCCCAGCTTCCATATCTACTGGTACCGTAGTATGGACATGAAGCATTAGGGTATTTTTTTTTAAAAGTTCAGTAAATACCATTTAAATCTGTTTTTCTAATTTAGCCTACTTTGGGGGTAATGCCTAGGATTCGGGGATCCCAAAAAGAATGCTTTTCACAACCTTAAGCGATTCGTATTCCAGCTCTACTCCTCTCATCTGAGGCCTTTCTTCCTCCTGGCAAAATTCAAAGCACAAACAAAAATATTGCATTTTTAGAAACAGAACATTCCAGACATTATCAAGAAGAAACGGATATTTCAGTGATGTCTCTGTGTTCATTTTTAGATCATCGGTCATGCTTATTTAATGTTTAAACTTTTAAAGGGTGAACAGAATTCTGTAGCTAATCCAAGAGAGAAAGGCGGATGATTTGCCAAAGCTTACAATGACCAAAAATGCTACTGGTAGCTCTGCTGACTGTATCAACATTAAGATAAAGAGTAAAATGTTCTTCAAATTTTGTAAGGTCATGAGACAAAATACCAGAGGGAAAAAAATAATATTCTATCCTGCTTCTAACAGCAACAGATCAAACCTACAAAAATTAAGGAGTGGACAACTACAAGAAAGCGCTAGTTGTGTTTTGTTAGTTCCTTAGTTTGCTTTCGAAATTTGGAGGACTCCTTGGCGCTCTCTGAGCTTGATGGTTTTCTTGCAGATATTTCATTACCCAACTAGGTAACATCATCAGTGCTAGAAGGGAGAGGAGGAGGAGAGCTGTGGGGTCCTTGGTGCTCTCTGAGCTTGATGGCTTTCTTGCAGACATTTCATTACCCAGCTAGATAACATCATCTGTGCTAGAAGGGTGTGGGGTTTATGGGCCCTTCTAGCACTGATGATGTTACCTTGTTTGGGTCATGAAATGTCTGCAAGAAAACAACCAGGCTCAGAGAACACCCCTCATTTTAACCATGAGCTACAAATATTCAGTCAGTCTTAGAAGAGATCAACCTTGACTGCTCTTTAGAAGGCCAGATCCTGAAGTTAAAACTCAAGTACTTTGGCCACCTAATGAGAAGGAAGGACTCACTGGAGAAGACCCTGATGCTGGGAAAGATTGAGGGCAAGAGAAGAAGGGGACAACAGAGAATGAGGTGGCTGGACGGAGTCCCTGAAACAGCAGGCGTGAGCTTAAATGGACTCCAGAAGATGGTAGAGGACAGGAAGGCCTAGAGGAACGTTGTCCATGGGGTCACGATGGGTCAGACACGACTTCGCAACTAACAACAGCAACAACAAATATTCTCCTTTATTTCGGAATTTTCCCCGGGAGGGACTCATGGACCCACCTTCCACCTGCTGAATGGAATACCATCACTGGCATGGTATCCCAACTATCACCATCACCTGGACCAGAAGATGCCTGGTCTTTTCCATCTTACCTTGGCCTTGGCCCGGAGAACTTGGTCCTCCTTCTTCTCTAGCTCATCCTGCAGGGACTGCTTTTCTAGCTCCAGCTCCTTCACTCGTTTTTGTAGCTTGAGGAAGAGAGACATGTCCAAAGGTGCCTTTTTCTCACTCGGTTCCTGATTTACAGGGCAAAAGGGGGAAGGGGGAAGATCAGACCGTTCCCAAGCTACTGAAGGAGAGGCAGACCTACATGCGGTTTGTTATCGGGAAGAAAAAGACGAAAGCATATGGAAATAAGGAAAACAGGGTCCACAATGGAGAGAATCTATAGTGGCAGCAACATTGGAGCAGCAGTTGGAAAATCTCTATAAAGAACAAACCCCAAGTTGGTTTTAAATGAATATGTCAACGTGTGAAACTTAGCAAGCATAAATGAAAAAATCGTGACGGGGAATATGTACATTTTACTTGTTTAAAAGTGCTGCCTCTTGATGTTATTTTTTTTTTTCAAATTGTTACTGTAGAAAAAATTCAAAAGGCCAGTCGGATAAACAAAGCAAATTTTAAAAGTATCGATCCTAATGCTTTAAAAAATGAAACCTAGTACACAATTTAAGGTCCACAATCAACCTTCGGTTGACTATGGCTTTCTGCCTTGTGTTTACGGAAAGAAAAAAAACAGGTTGACAGTTAAGACTCGAGATACAAAATATGAGCACACTAGGTTTTTCTTCATTTTATAATATTGAGATGTTTTAAATCATGGTTTGAAAATCTGGCTCGGCCATCAAGTACTTAGTATACCAGAACATTTCTGGGATATTCAAAAATGATCTCCAGAATTGATTTGTTACGTGATGACAAGATCTGTATCCCGAGCCAGGAAAACTAACAAACAAATAACAAAATTTCCCGACCTTACCTCAGTTCCCATTGGTTCCCATTCAGCCTCAGCTATCTCAGAGGTGTAAGTATATTCTGATTCATTGCTACTATGGGTGGAATCCGTTCTCTTGTGCCCTGGCTTGGAAACAGTCTGGAAAGAGAATGAGCACCAGCATTAACTTTGCTGCTTCCATGGGTTAAATGTTTCCTGTACTGTCATTGCTTCATCTTTTGAAGGGGAGGGAATTTAGAAAACTTATAGAGAAAAACGAAAAGTCTTTGATGAATAAAGATAGGCAAAGGAGCAGCAAGAAGGAAGATGATTCAGGATGCCCTCTCTATTCACTATATTCACAATCGGATGGATGGATGGATGGATGGATGGATGGACTGATAAAAGGATGCCCTCCCCATTCACTATGGTTATAATCTGAGTAGATAGATAGATAGATAGATAGATAGATAGATAGATAGATAGATAGATAGATAGATAGATAGATAGATAGATAGATAGATAGATAGATAGATAGATAGATAGGATGATGGATGGATGGATGGATGGATGGATAGGTAGGTGGGTAGGTAGGTAGGTAGGTAGGTAGGTAGGTAGGTAGGTAGGTAGGTAGATAGATAGACAGATAAAATAGATGGACGGACGGATGGACGGACAGATAGAGAAAATAGATGATAGATGAATGGATGGATAGATAGATAGAGATAGATACCGATAGATAGATAGATAGATAGATAGATAGATAGATAGATAGATAGATAGATAGATAGATAGATAGATAGATAGATAAGATGATGGATGGATGGATGGATGGATGGATGGATGGATGGATGGATAGGTAGGTGGATGAGTAGGTGGGTAGGTAGGTAGGTAGGTAGGTAGGTAGGTAGGTAGGTAAGTAGATGATGGGTAGGTAGGTGGGTAGGTGGGTAGATAGATAGATAGATAGATAGATAGATAGATAGATAGATAGATAGATAGATGATAGATAGACAGATAGATAGATAAGACAGACAGACAAACAGACAGATAAAATGGATGGATGGACGGACGGACAGACAAACTATAGATAGAGAAAATAGATGATGGATGGATGGATGGATGGATGGATGGATGGATAGATAGATAGATAGATAGATAGATAGATAGATAGATAGATAGATAGATAGAAGTTGCCCATCTTACCTCAAGGTAATAGTGCACATTCTCTGGAGCTATTGGAAAGCAACTCTCCCCACCGCCAAGACTGAATTTGGCCTCAGGTCAACTCACCTCCATCAGCTTCATCTCATCCTTGAGGTCATCGTATCGCTCCTCTAACCGGCTGAATTCTTGGAGCAGGTTCTGGTATCTCTGCCTTTCATTGTTCAGATCTAGGTCCAGTTGTTTCGTCTCCTCAAAGTACTTTTTCTCCATGACCTCTGCAAAGAAAAAGAAGAAGGGAATCAAGACTTACTAAAATGATAGATTAAAAGTGAGGTCTTAATATTCCTTTTGTAATGTTCGGTGTGTAAGTACCACCTCAGCTCCTTTTTTTCCTGGAAAAAGAAAAAAGAAAAAACAGAACTCTTCAGACTGACTAGTGTCTAACGTAACTACTTAACAACTGTGACAAGAAAGGCCGTAAAATGGGGCAAAATTCACTCTTAGCCACAGAAATTGTGGGCTCAACTGCAGTAGTAAGTCAAGGACTTATGTGGACTTAGAGGAGAACTATGGAAATAAGAGGAGCTGTCAATGAGAGAGAGGAAAAGGGTAGAATTGTCTCACGGTGGGCACATTTACAAATGCAAGCTAGATATGATAAAGATGTTAAACTGTATGGATTTTATAAGGAACAAACACACTGTGTTTGATAAGACATTGTTAACTTCTGATGAGAAACTAATTAAGAAAACGTATAATTTTCTTATTATACATTTTCTTAATTAGTTTCTCATCAGAAGTTAACAATGTCTTATCAAACACAGTATGTTTGTTCCTTATACAATCCATACAAACAAACTTTTGGATACAATATAGAATTAGAAAGATGGCAAAAATTATGGGAAAGAAATTACAAACGGACAATGTCAACTTCCTACAAAGAAAAATTATATAAAATGTTTTATAGATGGCACTTGCCACCAGCAAGACTAGCAGAAATGTTTAAAAACATGTCAGATAGATGTTGGAAATGTAAACATAAGTCAGGCACTTATTATCATGTTTGGTGGACATGTGACAAAGTAAAGAGTTATTGGAAAAAGATATATGCTTGGCTAGAAAAGATGTTGGGAGAACATGTAGATTTTAAACCTAAACTTTTTTTTATTAGGTATAATGCCAGAAAAGACTGATATATTTGATTTTACATGTTACAGCAACGGCAAGAATTATGTTTGCGCAATATTGGAAAAATGAAGGAATATCATCAGATGAAGAAATAATTTAAAAAATACTAGAATGCGCAGAGATGGATAGACTGACTATGAGACTGAAAAAAAAAAAGAAGAAACGGAATATTATCAATTTGGGACTTATTTTATCGATGGCTAGAGGAAAGAATAAAGGATTGGGAATTAAATATGTATTAGTGAATGTAAACTCAGACAGCATGTTTGTTGAAAAATTATTACTGAATGTAGGGGGGGAGAAAACAATAAAAACTTTTACATAAAAAAAGAAAAGGCTACCATTGCCTATGTTGGCTACGGTTCAATTTGCCACTAACTTTGGCCCCACGATGCAATTCTCAAGATTAAAAAAAAGGATTCTCCTTCATTTTACAGGTAGCCCAGTTCACTCACTTGCTGTCTCTTTACAAGTGAGAAATAGGATTCTTTCTGGCCCAGTGTCCCTCATTCCTACTGGACACAGAAACTGGTTTTTAAAAACCCAGCCAGTAAATTCCAGAGCCGAGCTTACCTGTAATTTCTTTGGCCTGGTTTTGGATGTGACTATTCAGGTCATCTTTTTCCTTTTTAAGAAGTGTGTTTTGCTCTTTTAGTTCAAGCACCAACTTTAAAAAAAAAGAAGAAGAAGAAAGTTGGAAGAGAAAGATTTGTAGACTTCTGACAATAAATGATTCTGGTAAGATTAGCTGCTAAGTTTATAATGAGGCTGCTGGTATCATTATCAAAGTCTTGTCTATACATAATATCTCACTTGGTCTAGGACAGGCGTAGGCAACCTTGGCTCTTTTATGACTCGTGGACTTCAACTCCCAGAATTCCTAAGCCAGCATGGCTCAGTATGGAAACCTCTCCCTTTCCCCTCAGCATGGCTGGCTCAGGAATTCTGGGAGTTGAAGTCCACGAGTCATAAAAGAGCCAAGGTGGCCTACCCCTGGTCTAGGACAAGGGTCCCCAACCTGTGGGCCACAGTCCACCACTGGGCTGTGGCCTCTTGGCCACAAGCAGCGTGAATGGCTGGCCAGTGTGCGCACATGTGTATACGCACTCCCCCCACTCACGCTAGCACTGCCCTAAGCATCGCAAAAGCGATAGCCCCACCCTGAGTATCGCACGGGTGCTAGACCTGCCCCAAGCATTGCACGTGCACTCGTGCCATTTGCATCGGGCGCACACACATGGCCCCATGCCTCCCCCTTCCTTTCCCTCTGGGCCGCCAACCTAAAAAGGTTGGGGACCTCTGGTCGAGGACACGGATTCTCGACCTTTTTTTCTCTACGGACACCCTTTAAATATCTTTTGTGGTTGCGGACCTCCAAGACTTAACTCAAGATTTAAATCATAACCTTCCTTCAAGGCTTCACGGACTCCCTGCGACGGCATCGTGTCCCCCCCCCCAGGGGTCTGTGGACCACAGGTTGAGAACCACTGATCTAGGACATTATAAGGTAGATTAGACTTGCTCGGGCTGGGGGTCCCCAGTAAAATGAACCCCAGCCAGCATTCTGAAGGCATCTCTTGAAAAAAAAAATGATTTGCAATATATGGGTCTCTTAAGTTTTGATGAAAAGGAAAGATGGGATAAAACTGGGTTTGTTTTTTTAAAGTGCAACGTGGATGAAGCTGCTCTACTCAAGCTACATGCTAAAATCAACTTGGCAGAGACCGGAGCAGAAGTGTAGAGAATGGGACTAATGGGAGTGGAGAATGGGACAAACACACACAAACGCACCACATTGCTCTTTGTCTGCAATACTTTAAGAAGTGGTGTCCTTTGGAACCAAACGCTTTTACCTGGTCCATTTCTTGTTTATAGAGACCCGCCTTTTCTTCGATGGCTTTCTTTTCGGTCTGGATCTGGCTCAGCTCCTTCCTCAGCCTGCTGATCTCCTCTTGAAGACTCATGAGGCGGTTGGTGGCGTTCTTGGCCTCTTCCTCACTCATCCGAAGCCTTTCGATGTCATTCCGCAGCTTCTCCGTCTCGGAAGCATAGGCCGCCTCTAAGATGGTTAGCTTCTCAACCAGGGATTTGGAATCTCGTGTCTGAACAAAACCCAAAAGGATGCAGATCAATCTTTAGAGTACGACAGGTGACAGGCTAAATATTTATGGATCATCTTGCTTCCTCCTATTGGGAGATGCGCACCATCCCGTCCTTATTTTTTCAGGTTAGAAATATAGAAACACAGAAACCCGATGGCAGAAAAAGACCTAGTGTGTGTGTGTGTGTGTGTGTGTGTGTGTGTGTGTGTGTGTGTGTAGGAAGAGAACACTAGGCTATTAGGTTCATTTTACCTGGTCATCGATTTTACGCTGGAGCTGCATAATCTTGTTCTCCATGCCAACGTTGAGTTTCTTGTAGTGTTCGACCGAGCGAGCTTCTATCTTCAGCTTCTTCAGCTCCCTTTTGGCCATCATGCGCCGGTAGCAGCATTGCAGGTAGACAATTGCCTTCAAAGTCCTGTGGTAGTGCAAGCGAGCCAGCCAGCCACGCACATGTTTTTGGATAATGGTGGCTTTGTGCTCCCAAAGCATCTGCGCATTGAAAAGACAGGTTGAGCATCTTTTCCTTGCCTTTAGGATCTGAAAATCTGCTACAAGGGACAATTAACCGACAGCACAAGGAAAGTGAGTTGTGGCTGAGCGGACACTTATTAAAAGACAACAACAATAACCACCTTAAAACTGAGAAGGAAAAATATTTCCTCCCAATTTATAGGAGTGGGCATGCTTTCCCACCCAAGGCTGAAACTATACAATTATTCACGCCGTAAGTCACAGACTAAACATTCATATTTTATAAATAACTGAAATAAATATTGCTTTTTTCCCCCAATACCAATAGACTCGGTTGATAAATTAAATCAGTTTGCTATTTGTAGTTTGTTCCTACATGATACAAAACTAATACTCAGAATCAATACAAAGAATTAAAACTCTCAAAATGAATGTAGCTATTAGGTAAGATTCAAGATCCTTCATTCTTCCTATCACCACAAGATTATGCTGGGACATTTGCTGATTTGCCAGCCAAAAATTCCACTTCTGATTCTCATTCAGGGGATCAGAAAAACAATTTAGACAAGGCTGCTTTCTAATACTACATTAACCAGCCGTTCTCTATTTTCACGTTTACAGCCCCGTCATCTGAATATTACTTCTTACACTTGAGTTACAGCAGGATACACAACAATCTATTTCCAACTATTATTATGTCATTGCTCTGTTCAAATGCTCTAGAAATACCTTGATTCAACAGCTACTGCAGGTCCTCAGGCTGACACAAATATTCCCAGTACATCCAAAGAATATTCAAGTATCAGACATTTTCCTAAGCGCATTCGAATGTTTACAAAACAGCATCTCTAGAGTTGGAACAGTGGCGATCCCTGTAAAACTGTGAGCCTCCCAAAGGAATCTCATTTAGGAATCTCCTCCGAACAGGTGAGCAGATGATTCAACTCTTCTTACAGGCCAGTAATTATTTTCCATACCAGTTTTTATAATCACAAGACAGCTGTTGCAAAAGCTTCCACAGGCAAAGAACACGTTATGCAGAATGAAATCATCTTTAATTACCGGAACACCACGGATGTGTCAGAAGACATTGTCCATCAACCCAACTGAGCCATCTTTGGGATTCTTGCAAAGCCACCAAGGTTCAAAAACTAAAGGAGCATCTGTCTTTAAAGGCTTCTACAATCTTAACAGAATGCAGTGATTTTTTTTCCTTAAAGAATAATGTTCAACTACAAAACAGGGGAGTTGGTTTAAATAAGGAGGTATAAGAGTGTGGTCCAAACCCACTAAATATAAATATTCTGGATGTTGATACGTTGGCATTTTAGCTATGTTTTTGTCAGCAGCTAACCCCACTGCTGAACACATTGGAAAAGGATTAAAGAGAATATCAAGTAGAGGTTATACGATTTTCACATTATGTATTATGGGAAACACAACTGGCAAAGTTTTGCACCACTAATCTTCTTTTCCACTGGTGTGCAAGAGTGCTGATCTCTATCTTGAGAAATGGGCGCACAGAAATAACATTAAAACACGTATCTATTCTGCAGCATCCTGGAAAAAAAGTATTGTTGGACCATAACTTTAGGAAGGGATTCAAAATCACAGCCAGGGTCTTCCTTACCTTGTGATACTTCTTCCTGGCAAGGTAGCCTCGCAGGTACGACTGGAGAGTAACGGTGGTAGCTCGGATGCGTCGATACCGTTTGCGGGTAGCATACATGCGCTGGCATTTCTGGATAATGATGGCAGCTTTGGTTCTTCGTAAGAACATTGCAAGGCTGGCCAAGAAAATGGGAGAGAGAAAAGAAAGAATGGAAATTAATTAATAACAACAACAATTATAATTATAATTATAATAAAGTTGGAAGGGACCTTGGAGGTCATCTAGTCCAACCTCCTACTCAGGCAGGAAACTCTATACCATTTCAGACAAATGGCTATCCAGTCTCTTCTTTAAAACTTCCAGTGTTGGAGCATTCACTGCTTCTGGAGGCAGGTTGTTCCACTGATTAATTGTTCTAACTGTCAGGAAGTTTCTCCTTAGTTCCAGGTTGTTTCTCTCCTTGATTAGTTTCCACCCGTTGCTTCTTGTCCTGCCTTCAGGCACTTTGGAGAAGAGCTTGACTCCCTCTTCTTTGTGGCAGCCCCTCAAATATTGGAAGACTGCTATCATGTCCCCCCTCCTGGTCCAACCCCCTACTCAAGCAGAGACCTTATACTGCTGCAGACAAATGACTGTCCAGTCTCTTCTTAAAAACTTCCAGTGTTGGAACACCCACAACGTTTGGAGGCAAATCGTTCCACTCATTAATTGTTTTAACTATCAAGAAATTTCTCTTTATTTCTAGGTTGCTTCTCTCCTTGATCAGTTTTCATCCGTTGCTTCTTGTCCTGCCTTCAGGTGCTTTGGAGAATAGGCTGACCTCCTCTTCTTTGTGGAAGCCCCTCAAACGTTGGAACACTGCTATCATGTCACCTCAGTCCTTCTTTTCTCTAGATTAGACATTCCCAAAGTGCTCCTGTTCAGAAATGGTCAAGGATCTCTGTCTAAAGAAACACAGATGTGCAGCTTCTGTTTCTTAACTATTATGCTACAGTTCATGCTGCGATCTACATGGAAAACTGCAAACCTTCCAAGTAGGGCAGAATTGACTCCCTCAAACACATGCACTGCGTATACATGCATCAATACTTATGTGCTTCTTTTTTTCCATGCAGCAGACTTTTAATTGCCTCCAAAAAGGATAGGCTTTATTTTACATAAAATTAAATGACCTCCCAGAACTAACTTCATATCTTTCATTATAGTGATCTGAAATGGGTCAAACCTGATTTGACTCCTCAAGCTTACTTAGATAAGCAAGCATCTTAGAAAGAAGCAGCGAAAATAATAGTAGTAATAGTAATAGTAGTAAAGTTGGAAGGGACCTTGGAGGTCATCTAGTCCAACCCCCTGCTCGGGCAGGAAACCCTACACCATTTCGGACAAGTGGCTGTCCAGTCTCTTCTTAAAAACTTCCAGTGTTGGAGCATTTACTGCTTCTGGAGGCAGGCTGTTCCACTGATTAATTGTTCTCACTGTCAGGAAGTTTCTCCTTAGTTCTATATTTCTTCCCTCCATTGCGCTTGGAGGATGCCCTGCTCCTGAGCTATAGTCTGACTGCAATAGATACTAAACGAGGTGGTTCTTGCTGCAGGTGCCAAAATGATTAAAGTCTCGGCAAAGCACCAAGTCGTGCAGGATGTTATTCTTACTCAAATTCTGCACGATTTCAGCTTTAAAAAAAAAAAACTAAAGTAACAAGAATAATGCTGCGGGGTACAGAAGCCATCAAAAGAGTCTCCAACCTGTTATCTGTAGGTACTGCGTTACTACTCTGTCTTATGTGGTAGTTTTCAAAACCTTTTGATGATGATGTATAGCCTGAATAAATGGAATGGAATGTGTGGAAGATCTTGGGAAAGGAAGAGAAGAGATGCTATTTAAGAAACAGCCAGGTGAGAAAAGGAAGCGCTCCCAACGGCTTAATTGAGAAAGGAATTGAGGATGGACCTGCTCAAATGGATTAGATCAGTGGTTCTCAACCTGTGGGTCGGGACCCCATTTGGGGTCGAACGACCATTTCACGGGGGTCGCCAAACAACGCAGTCCGCCATTTTTTCCCCCCTTTTCCTTAGCTGTGCTACTCCCTTTTATTCTATTGGCTTTTGAAAGCCAATAGAATAGACTCTCTTGAATAGAGCCTAATTCTATTGGCTTTCAAAAGCCAATAGGAATTGTCCAGGCTGTCTCTGCCCTGCTGAGCCCGCCAAAAGTCCCATTCTGCAAACGGTGCTGCACCAGTTGAGTAGTCCTCGACTTACGACCGGTTGAGTAGTCCTCGACTTACGACCGGTTGGGGGGTCGCGGCATTAAAAAGGTTGAGAACCACTGGATTAGATGGTTAAAAATGGCAGATGGGAAGTTTGCAAGCCCAGAAGTCCATGATTCTCTTAGTGTAGCCTTACAATAAATTAGCTCAACTAGTTGTGTATTCCTGTCTACTTTACATGGGAGAACTGACAATAAAGGGAAGATAAGGATCTATCATTCTTAGGCTACTGTCCCCCTGAGTTTATTTTGTGTAAAGCCTCAGGATATTATGTTAGATAAAATCTAGCTAATCACATGTTATTTTTGGGAATGTTAACGATGCTATTCCGATGACAGTTCTACTAGAGGTGGCCAACAGCTCATCTAATTGGGCATCAATCAGAGTGGCCAACAAAATGCATTCAAGAAATGTCTCTGCTCCCCAGAGTTAGGATTTAGTCTTCACAGCCCTTGAACAGAGACAGTGCATATGACTAGCTGCTACTAATATTCAGTTTTTATAATTTGTGTTTTTCGGCCTAGCCCAAGCTGTAACTCATTTTCATGCCCCTAATCAAACTAAAAACAGCTCATCTACCCCATATTGTGCTCCACCAGACATTCTACAACTTCTTGCTTTCTAATCAGAAGCAGGCAGCAAAACAGAGCCCATGTGCTTATGAATATCCAATTGCATGGTGTGCTGCAGCTGCCAAAAAAGCCAACACAATGCTGGACTGCATTAACAGAGGGATAGAATCAAGATCACGTGAAGTGTTAATACCACTTTACAAGGCCTTGGTAAGGCCACACTTGGAATACTGCATCCAGTTTTGGTCATCACGATGTAAAAAAGATGTTGAGACTCTAGAAAGAGCACAGATAAGAGTAACAAAGATGATTAGGGGACTGGAGGCTGAAACATATGAGGAACAGTTGCTGGAATTGGGTTTGTCTAGTTTAATGAAGAGAAAGATGACGGGTGACAGGATGGCAGTGTTCCAATATCTCAGGGGCTGCCCCAAAGAAGAGGGAGTCCAGTTATTCTCCAAGGTGCCTGAAGACAGGACAAGAAGCAATGGATGGAAACTAATCAAGGAGAGAAGCAAGCTAGAACTAAGGAGAAACTTCCTGACAGTCAGAACAATTAACTAGTGGAACAACCTGCCTCCAGAACGGTGAATGCTCCAACACTGGAGGTTTTTAAGAAGAGACTGGACAGCCATTTGTCTGAAATGGTATAGGGTTTCCTGCCTGAGCAGGGGGTTGGACTAGACGACCTCCAAGGTCCCTTCCAACTATATTATTATTATTACCTTTCAATATGTAGCCTATAAGGATCTTATTTTAAGGAAAACTGAACAGATAGCAAGGAACTATTTACACTAGATCAATAATCAAGAAGTATCAACTGACACAAACAAGCTAACAACAAAGAACAACTAAATCAAGGAACCACCGAGACCATTCCCACCAACACTGACAGGACGAACCACTAGTATAGAAAAGCAGAGCAAACCCCACTCCCTTCTAGCACTGATGAAGTTACCTAGTTGGGTCATGAAACGTCTACAAGAAAACAACCCAGCTCAGAGAGCACCAAGGACCCCATAGGTCAACCCTGAGCTACCAATTTTCTCTTCCATCAAAACTATTTAAGAGCAGGGGTCTCCAACCTTGGTAACGTTAAGACTTGTGGACTTCAACTCCCAGAATTCCTCAGCCAGCTTGGCTGGCTGAGGAATTCTGGGAGTTGAAGTCCACAAGTCTTAAAATTGCCATGGTTGGGGACCTCTGATTTAGAGCGCAACATCATAAGGAAGCATCCCCAGAGGATCAGCTTACCATCGTGCCTGGTATCCACGGACGTATCTCTGAATGGTGATGGCTGCCTTCCTCATGCGCAGGTACTTCTTTCGCATCAACCAGCCCCTGATAGTTTTTTGGATACGGATGCAAGCTGCTCTTAGTTTATCGGCCCTTATTTTTTCCAAATAAGCAACTTGACCAGCCCGGAAAAATATTTTTGTCTTCCCAAACTGGTACTTATCCTTGTCCTATTTTCAGAAGGGAAATGTATAATCAGTATCAGACTGACCCACTTTGCCGTATAAATAAAAAGACAGACTGGATTCAATACTAGAAGAATTAAAAATACCTTATGATACTACGAAGGTCAAATTATGCAGAAGCAGCAGAATAGATTAAAAAAATAATTTATAATATCTGGATCATACCACTCTATTTCGAACACTTCACGATGATTTCACAATGTGAAGAAAATTTAGGGTGTTATTATGTACTCTATGTTAGGCAATTCATTCTGAGCATGAGCCGTATTTCCCTCAAAGCAGGAGGATTAAACACATATCAATATACCAAAGTGTCAAAAGTTTAAAAGGAAGATTTAAATTAGGAATCTAAATTAATTTGTCTTCTCTATAGGACATCTAAAGGACTTTTCATCCAGTTAAGCTGCCATGGGATGGATGGATTTTCAATCTTATCTATGCACTTACCTGAGACAAACCCCAATGAAATCAGCATGTGGAGGGAACTATTTCTGCATAAACATATATATGATCCCTTTGTTAGTCTCTGATTGTACTTTGATTTCTACACCCTGGGCAAAGGTCAGATTGCACGCGACACATTGGACTTCCGTAATGGGAAGTTCTAATATTTTTCCCAGAGCTGAGAGCAGTTTGGGGGGAATGTGTGATACACTCAGTCATATCAAGATGAAGGACTCTTCAAATGATGCCATTTCCCTGCTAAAAAGCCCTCCCCATCCTGTGCTACTCTTCTTCCTAAGAGGCGTGGTGATAAATTAAAATGCTATTTTGATTATGGGTCATCAAGTTCAATATCAACTCTTAGCAAACATATAGGTAGATCTTCTCCATGAAAAAAAATGACATTTACATGTTGAAAGTGAGGAAACCATTTTAAAAATAAGTATCTCCTCCTCCTCTGTGCTTAATTAGCTCTTCAAGGTGCTATCAAGTAGTAATAATTTTAAAAAAGTAAGCCCAAATGCTACCCAAATATCAGAGACAGAATCCATTTGAAAGCAGGAAAGATGAAGAGTGTGGGAAATAAATCATGCCAATTCTTGAATGCAGGGGATTAAGAAGCCAATAGTCCAATAATATGAATATAATATAAACACTCTCCCTCCCCTCAAAGGTGAGGTGCCCCCCCCCTCTCCTGGCCTTCTGGAAAAGCATGAAAACGTGGCTGTGTGGCCTTGCATGGGGCACACAGAGGAGCAGGCAACTAGGGGGCTGCTAAGTTCCCTGAAAGCTCTCCTCCCCCTGCAATCTTTTAATTAATTTTTAACACTGCTTGCCTTTTACATTTTATATACTGTTCTTCTGCTTTTAGAATTTTACGTGTACACCAACAGGAGCCCCTCTGTGTGGGAGATGGGCAGCTCCTAGCTAGGATAGCTAGGATAGATGGCTAGGGTAGATAGGTAGGTAGGTAGGTAGGTAGATAGATATAGATGGATGGATGGAGAGAGAGAGAGAGAGAGAGAGAGAATATACAGACGGACATACACATGATGATAGATAGATAGATAGATAGATAGATAGATAGATAGATAGATAGATAGATAGATAGATAGATAGATAGATAGATAGGCAGGCAGGCAGGCAGGCAGGCAGGCAGGCAGGCAGGCAGGCAGGCAGGCAGGCAGGCAGGCAGGCAGGCAGGCAGGCAGGCAGGCATACAAGATAGGATAGAAATGATAGAGATAATACAGATGATAGATAGATAGATAGATAGACAGACAGACAGACAGACAGACAGACAGACAGACAGACAGACAGACAGACAGACAGACAGACAGATAGATAGATAGATAGATAGATAGACAGACATACAGACTGGGGGGGAGGGAGAGACAGACAGACAGACAGACAGACAAAGGCATATTGGTAGAGGAGATTGGAAAACCACTTTACTGCGCATCATTCAAATAAGAGGGATCCACCCAGCATGGGCTAACTTTACAGGCATTAAGCACCATAAATCTATTACCAGAATCAGCTTTTCCAAGACATTTTTGCATGTCTGTTTCCTGTCACTGAGGACATCTTTCTGCTTCATCAGGACACGATAGCGGCTGAAGAATTCTTGATAGGTCCACCTGGTTTCAAGAGGCAAGGTGGCATTTAGCCAATCAGGAAAAAAAACAACCTTTGAAATGCAAACCGCATTCCCCCCCCCCTCCGTGCCCCCCCCGTCTCATGTGTGACGTGCTCACCTCGAAGGGAAACCAGCTGCACTGATCCGGATTGTCTCCAGCACGCCACAGGCTCTGAGCTGTTGTACAGTCCGCTTTTCATCAAACCTACGGGTGAACACATAGTGTGGAGTCATTCATGACAGAAGTGTGATGAGAAAGGATGAGTTGCCAGAGGAGCAGCAAAAAGATACAAATAAGTCCCAAATGGCTCTAGCAGAGATCTGTTCGGCAGGAGGTGCACTCAGGTAAGACCATAAGACTATATAAGAACTAAAAGGAGAATATTTGTAGCTCAGGGTTGGCGTGAGGGGTTCTTGGTGCTCTCTGAGCTTGCTTGTTTTCTTGCAGACGTTTCATTACCCAAACTAGCTAACATCATCAGGGCTAGAAGGGGGGGGGAGGAGGAGGAGGAGGAGGAAGAGGAGGAGGAGAACTGTGGGTTCCTTGGTGCTCTCTGAGCTTGCTTGTTTTCTTGCAGACGTTTCACTACCAAACTAGCTAACATCATCAGTGCTAGAAGGGAATGAGGGAGGAGGAGGAGGAGGAAGGGGGGGGGTCCTTGGTGTTCTCTGAACTTGGTGGTTTTCTTTCAGACATTTCATTACCCAACTAGGTAACATCATCAGTGCTAGAAGGGGGGGGGAGGAGGACGACGACGACGACGACAACGACTGTGGGGCCCTTGGTGCTCTCTGAGCTTGCTTGTTTTCTTGCAGATGTTTCATTACCCAAACTAGATAATACCATCAGTGTGACTAGCCCTGATGATGTTACCTAGTTGGGTAATGAAATGTCTGCAAAACAACAAGCAAGCTCAGAGAGCACCCAGGACCCCACAGTCGTTGTCGTCGTCCTCCTCCTCCCCCCCCTTCTAGCCCTGATGATGTTACCTAGTTGGGTAATGAAATGTCTGCAAAACAACAGATATAAACAAAGTTGCTATAAGCTAATCAAAGCATTTTATCTCAAGACTAAGCAAGACTGAATGCAAAACTTTTGCATCATAGCAACGGTGTTTCATTCATAAAAATTCAATCATCGAACAACAGCCTTGAGATTTTTTTTCAAGGCCCAAATTGAGCTACACTTAATAAATGGGCAGGGACATGACATCTGTTTGTTTTCGTCCAAATCAAGCATTGACAGATGTTTATTTTTTTTTTCTCTAACACAATATACTTTCACAGAGCAAATACGACAGGTGTCAACGCTGCTAACATCGGAGGTTTTGCATTGACAATAGATGGAAATGTAGCCATCTTTTTCCCTTTTGCTTTTAGAGTTAGATGATGCTGGGAAGGGGGGGATGTGAATGAGAATCTAGCTAGACATAACAACACTAAACCTAGGGTGAGAATCAAGGTTATTGAGCCCAGAGCTGATAAAGAATTGGCGGGCTGGAGAACTGGAGAGGAAGCCCCTGCTTCAAGCTAATTGGGGAATGTGATTTATGAATGTTAATTGGAGGAAGGAAAATGTGCTTTGATACTATGTGCTCAGGGGAGGGGAATTCAGTTTTTGGCTTCAATTATGCAGTGCCGATATTATGCTACTCAAATAAAAGATTCTTTAAGGTAAACAATGCCTCGAAGTTCTTTTGAAGAGTTTTTCATCTGTCGGAACCATGACAATGACAGGATCATGAACTTACATAAATGGAAACTTGAAGTCGTTTGGTTTAATACACCGCACGTAATGTGGAGTTGTGGCATTAAGGGTCTCCATCAAGAGATGCAGAGAATTTCTGAACTGTAGGAAAGATCAAAAGATGTACAAGGAAACACTTGACACATTTTTTTTTCTTTCTTTGGAGCAGTGGTTCTCAACCTGTGGGTCAGGACCCCATTTGGGGTCAAACGACCATTTCAGGGGGGTCGCCAAACAACACAGTCCGCCATTTTTTCCCCTTTTTCCTTAGCTGTGCTATTCCCTTTTATTCTATTGGCTTTTGAAAGCCAATAGAATAGACTCTCTTGAATAGAGTCTAATTCTATTGGCTTTCAAAAGCCAATAGGAATTGTCTAGGCTGTCTCTGCCCTGCTGAGCCCGCCAAAAGCCCCATTCTGCAAACGGTGCTGCACCAGTTGAGTAGTCCTCGACTTACGACCAGTTGGGGGTCATGGCATTAAAAAGGTTGAGATCCACTGCTTTAGAGCGAAACTTCTCCATGCAGCAATTTCTAATAACATATAAATGACAGGTCATCTGTTTTATTTTTAAAAGTCAGTCTGCATCTTTATTAATCGTGGAAATAAGTCCAGATCACACTTAGGCCATAGTCCAAGAAGTACAGGTAGTGGGCCATAGCCCACAGGTAGACTGTGAGGAAAAATGTCGCTATTTCTCCACAAACAGTTACGCAGCCGCTCCCAATCTCTTCTATACCCCGCACCTCTAGAACGTTTCTGATATATATAAACTTTAACAAAAGTTTGAAATAACGGCAATGAATTATGCATATACACTATAATTTTGAAAACTCAAGTTTTCGCACCCCCTGGAATATCGTCTCCCACCCCCAGGGCACCCCTGATTGGGAACCTCTGGGTTACAGCAAATGTTTCTTCTCCCGTTCTCCATTATCATGAGGGATAGCCCCAAGTAAAGTGGGGGCCGTGCAATCTGGAAATAGCCCAAAACAAAGACATGTAATCCATTTCCTTTACCTGATGCCCCACAGTTTTCTTATGTTCCTTGCTTGCTTGGGCCATTTTGGACTTGGCTGGTTTTACAGCTGCTCGAGACAATGGGATACGACCCGATGGAGTGGCTGAGGCGGGGCTGATTGCCTTCTCCTCTTGAAACAGCTCAGGCAGCATCTTAAACTGAGTCAGACACAGAGTTTTTAGAACGTCGCCTCTGAATTTAGGAAAGAGAAAGCTTTCCCTGAGGTAAGGCAACAAAAAGGGGAAACCGAAGCCCAAAGAGATTATCATTCACGGGCTGGTTTTGTTGCTTTCCAGAGGCTTGGAAAAATAAAGAGAATTTAGCTTTTGCTTTATCAAGCAGGTTAATTTAGGTGACCCCGAGAATGTAAGAATGGCCTTTTCTAGATTAGAGCAAGGACGCAGATGGCCCAAGAGTCTGTGTCCCACGGAGGCCAACCAGAAGCATCCGTGAAGCTTACTTACAAAGAGTATGCAGCGATACAAGACCTTCTCCACTGTCCCTACAGAGCAGTTATATGCGCTCTTAAAGCTTGTTGCCGAGGCAACCTTAGGCTTGCACCAGATTTCATGATTTCAAATCATGCAACCACAAACAATTCAAGGGTGGCCCTTCTACTAAATAAATATTGCAGAAACTCTCTGTATGTTGCTCTCTCTAAAAGCTGTGAAGTTTGACACCTAGTACTTCGTCTCACTCCTACTTCTTCTGCACCGTGAATTTTGAGAGAAGCTGGCACCTTTGCTGAAATGCAGGACAATCTTCCATTAAAGAAGAGAATTACAGGAAAAGAGAATTATTTTCAAATGCCTAGAAGTCTGTAAGCTTCCAAGAAAGGGAATAGAAATCAGACAAGGGAGAGAAAAGTAGACTTCCTTTCTGATTTTAATTATGCATTTAAGTTTCCTAGAATATGATCAGGAAGGAGTAGACTGTCGTATTGCACCTATTCATTGATGTAACTGGTTAGATTCATATCCTGCTCTTCTCTGAAATCAGAAATGGACGACACTTCGGTCTTTATAGAATTGTGATGGTAAGTGAAATGGCAGGGAGGATTATTTCAACACTAACCTTACTTGATTTGAGAACATTGATCTGTTCTTCATAGACAGTATCCTTGTTTTTTTCCAAAAACCCTTCGCACTGGTACTCCACCTGGAAATGCAAACATCTAATTTTACCAAAGAGCGGTTGCAATCAGTGGCCCACAAGGATAGGTACACCTAGATAAGCGCAAATGTCTTCTGTTTTATGAGATTTCCAATTTCAGATTTAAGTTTAAAAGCTTTGCCAAAGTTTGATTGTGGTAGTTAACAAAGGAAGCCATCACACTCAACGCAAAGCATACTTGCTTTGTTGAATTGCTTGCCAAACATTTTCTGCCTCAAGAATTCCTCCCAATGACAACTGCAAAAAGATCCTTTGATGGACCGAGACAAGTGCAAGTAACAAGAAAAAAAGTAATATCCACATCAGCCAGGAAACAAAATCCCCTACCTTATCTGCAAAGTGTTGAATAATAAAAGCTTTGTTGGACAATCGAGGTTTCTCAAACAGTGCCGTCTTATTCAAGTGAGTATTGTATAATTTCTGCGCCCAACTATTGTCTGAGCCTTTAGGCATCTAAAGAAGGGACAGATGGAGAGATAACTTCACATTTCTGGTGGGAACAAAGCCATGGAGGTGGGGGAATAATCGCAGAAAAGTTATAAATGGTGCCCTTGAAAAGGAAGAAATATTCTCTCTCTTTTTTTTTCCCTGTGCAGGAATTTTGTAACATTTTTAATTGGCTTTTAGTGCTGTCCACAGGGGAGCTGCCTATCCATCTCAGAGAGTTTAGCAAAAGAGACACATGAAATGACACCGAACAAAACTCAGCCACTGCCTTCAAATCCTGGGAATGGACGCTTATGGACTGCAGGAGGCATGCGACTTGTGCCAAACGATGTCTCACGAAACCAGACATGTCAAACACAAGGCCCGGGGGCCGGATGCGGCCCGCGAAGTGGTTTCATGTGGCCCGCGAAGCCATCCTGGAAACAGTGAGGGAACGGCCCCTGCTGCCTTGGGCCTGGCCCAGGCCGGCCGGGAGCCAATGTACAATTTTGTGGTGGCCATCTTGGCACTTGCCCCGGTGGACCATGCCTTGGCACTTGCCCCAGTCCCAATCCCTTCTGCCAGAGACCCTCAGATCTGTCCCACTCCTGCCCAGGCCCCCACAGGCACCCTTGACGCAAATTATGTAGAACTGGCCACACCCACCCAGTAGGCCACACCTACTCCATCCACGCCCACCCAGTAGGCTGCACCCACTCTGGCCACACCCTCCCGGCCCCCCAGGGCAACCGCAATGCTGATGCGGCCCTCAGTGAAATTGAGTTTGACACCCCTGCACTAAACCAACGGTGAGGATATAAATGAGTATTTAACACTTTCTACTTTGTTCTGCAGAAATTTTTCTACAGGGGAAATTTGGACTACCTACCTTGCATTCCTCATCCAGCAAATCCAGAATTCCCATTTTGGCCTCGATGAGGTTAATGCAGGGCTGATTGTCATAGAAATCAATCAAGGTCCAAGGAATTTGTTCCCTCATGTATTCTTCTTGCTCCAACTTAAAGACATGCTGTGTGAGAGGGTAGAAGACGGGTCGTCAGGGTAAGGTTACAGGGCTGACTTTGCATTTTTCCTGGGGCTTTTAACGGCCATACGGAAATTGAAACGGACAGCCTGCTTTGCCAGATGCAGCAGATTAACCTAGCTATCCCTCTAGAACACGATAAATGCTAAAAGTCCTCCTTCTGAACCACTAATCCAGAAAAACTAATTATGAAGTGGATAATTAAGATGTGGGTGGATAGCATTACACCAAAAAAAAACCAAGTTTCTTACTTACCATATTGAACTGCTGCTGCAGTTTCTCATTGGCGTAATTTATACAGAATTGTTCAAAACTGTTGATCTCAAATGTTTCAAACCTGAAAAAGAAGATGTTTCAGCCTACCTGAAAAGTGTTCAATGAACAGTTGCACAGCTGAGGTCTAAAACCTCCAGCTGAATTATTACAGCTGTATTAAATGGAATGGAAGGGCCAGACCAAAAAAAACCACCAAAAAAACATTTACTCAATGTCTACATTCCTAGCAGGAAGAAAACAGCCCTTCACGAGGTAAGCTATTATATAATCTGATTCTATGGAACATCGAGATATTGTTTCAGATGCTCTTATCATTTTTGGCTACACCGCCTAAGGTCATTGCAATGGTAGCAAAACTGAAAAGAAGTGGATAAAAATCATGAGACGGAAAGCACTCACCCATAAATGTCCAACACGCCAATGAAAGAATGCTGTTTCACAGTGGACTGCAAAGCTTTGTTCACATGTTCTACAATCCAGATAAAAAGGTTGGCGTAGATATGTTTTGCAAGCGCATCCCTAGCATTGATAGCCTGCAGCTTGGAAATTGGCTTGATGTAGGTCTCGGTGGCAGTAGCGAGCTTTCTGTGGCAAAGCCAATGCGCCATCTGCTCATATTCCACTCCCATGAGTTCACAGAAGATCCTGAGGGGTTCGTGTTTAGGCTACAAGGACAATAATCTCCTTAGAGTTGAAAACAATAGATACATATTCCCAACAACTCATCTAAAAATTTTCAAGCAGCCAAACGTTGACGAGAAAGATTTTATGCCTTAGATCAGGGCTCTTCAAACTTGGCCCTTGGATGACTCGTGGACTTCAACTCCCAGAATTCCTCAGCCAGCATGCCTCACGCTGGCTGAGGAATTCTGGGAGCTGAAGTTCACAAGTCATCAAAGGGCCAAGTTTGAAGAGCCCTGCCTTAGATTTAATGAGAAAGTTCTTCCATTTGGAAAGACGTAATTTGAAGAAAAATGAGCAAGAATCTAAAAAGAAAGAAAGAAAGAAAGAGAGAGAGAGAGAGAGAGAGAGAGAGAGAGAGAGAGAGAGAGAAAGAAAGAAAGAAAGAAAGAAAGAAAGAAAGAAAGAAAGAAAGAAAGAAAGAAAGAAAGAAAGAAAGAAAGAAAGAAAGAAAGAAGAGATGGGGAAAATGCAGTTTATCTATTTTGGCAAGGCAACTACAAGACAAATAGACAAGGAAGAGTAGGGAACTTCGAAATGTCAATGGGATCGAGAATATTCAAAGTATTTTGGAACTTACAGGGATTGTGCAGCTATCGGCGTCTCGAGATGTGAATGTCACGTTGCCCAAGTGAAGAATGGCAGCAAGGATTTGGAAAATTCCCATCTGACGGGAATCAACAATGCCTGTTGTATTGGGGAAGAAGGGAAGCAGCGTAAAATTAAAAAAAAAAGTTTCCTTGAATAACTATAGCCTATTAAGTACCTAAACAAGAAGGATACAAGGTATAATTAATAATAAGGTAATAGTTCATCACTGAGTGGGGGAGTCACCCTTTTATTTTTTATTTTTTAACCAAAAAGGCAAGAACTTACAGCCACATCCAGACTGCATTCAAACTGCAGTCTCCCACTTGGAAGAGATGTAAAATGATTTTTTTTTTAGCATCATAAACTATAAAATGTTCCTGTGTCCTTCCATAATCGCCCCTTAATATCTGCCTCCTTACAAATGGTTTTTATGCTAAATCTTATGCTAATTATGCACATTCTTGCATAATTACAGCAGACCACTGTAGCATTTTTACAATTCAAAGCAACGCATCAATACTTCCAGAAAGGCATAATTTTATCCTCCAGCGAGTTAGATGCCTTTGGTGAAAGAATGGTGAGTTTTGCACCAAGAAATAAATGCAACAGCCTTACGGTTCTTCAAAACTTATTTTTGCCAGAAAGTCAGCTGCTCTTAGTATCCCTGCAGTGTTTTAAGAAAGCTGAACTATTTGTAACTGAAGCAGATATCTGCTCCTCCCCCATTCCTCTGTGGTGCCTTTGCGATGTTGAATAGTAGTTAGCAAGGTTGTATTCTGCAACCTATTAAGCTCAGTAGGTGGAACCCTCTCTTAAGCAACGTCCTTTTAAGGTTTTTTTTCTTTTTGCAAATTATAATATACAACATTGGGGGAGTTATCCTAAGTCAGTGGTGGCGAACCTATGGCACGGGTGCCAGAGGTGGCACTCAGAGCCCTCTCTGTGGGCACGCGCGCCGTCGCCCCAGTCCTAGGCCTTCAGCTGGGTTTTATAAAACCTTTTCACTTTAGGCCTCCGCCGCCGTGTGTAAAAAAAAGATTCAATCAATCAATCAATTTCAACTTCTCGCGGGAAAAAAAAGATCTTGCAAAGTTGGAATTGATTGATTGAACTTTTTAGTCCCACCCAGTCTGCCGTTACCACTGCAGACACGCCCACCCAATGGGCCACGCCCACCCAATGAGCCACACCCACTCAATAGGCCACACCCACCCAGCACCCAACAATGCATAAGTGGGTTTTGGGTTGCAGTTCGGGCACTCAGCCTCTCAAAGGTTCGCCATCACTGTCCTAAGTGAAGCGCTTGAAGAGTCTCGTGCTTACCTAAAAGAGTGCAAGCCCGCCGAGTGTTGAGCATTTCCTTAGCGTCATCAATTCCGTCAATTATTGGGCTGCCCCCTTGTTTTGTATAGTGAAAATAGTCTGCATTCCCTATTTGGACAAAAAAAAGATTATTTCTTACAACAAAATGCCGTGATGACTTTCGTGCGACAGGCATGTAACTGCTGCCCATTGAGAAGGCACTATTTGTTCATTAGTAAGAATTTATACCCCTTCTTCACAAAGTTCTTTAAAGTTCAAAAAGATTTTGCGGAGATTCAATGCAGCCAGAGTGATCAAGCAAATAATGGTTCCTCTTAAATTATTCCTGAGAATGGTAAAATATTTGTAATAGCACTAGATTTGCTTCATGTTTATACATGGAAGATACATGGTTATTAGTAGATAAGAGGGGGGACATGATAGCAATGTTCCAATATCTCAGGGGCTGCCCCAAAGAAGAGGGAGTCAAGCTATTCTCCAAAGGCAGGACAAGAAGCAATGGGTGGAAACTAATCGAGGAGAAAAGCAACCTAGAACTAAAGAGAAACTTCCTGACAGTTAGAACAATTAACTGGTGGAACCACCTGCCTCCAGAAGTGGTGAATGCTCCAACACTGGAATTTTTTAAGAAGAGACTGGACAGCCATTTGTCTGAAATGGTATAGGGTTTCCTGCCTGAGCAGGGGGTTGGACTAGATGACCTCCAAGGTCCCTTCCACCTTTTATTATTATAAGAAAAATACTTTGTAAATGCCAACATGTAGTACCAACAGATACCGATACATACCCAATCGCAACGCTTTAAATTCAGGTAATGCTGCAGAAGCACAAAGCTGATAGAAGATATGGTAATTTCTCTCTTCTTCTGCCTTTAATACAAATAGATTATATTTGATATGGACCAGTTGACTCTTAGCGACCACACAGACAGCGGTCTCCAGCAACAAATAAATTACACACAAATACATACACAGAAATAATACATATATATAATGGATGAATTTTTGTATGACAGATACTATCCTGAGAAAGTTTTGACTAAAACAGGGGTCTTCAAACTTGGCCCTTTTATGACTTGTGGACTTCAATTCCCAGGCACGCTGGCTGAGGAATTCTGGGAGCTGAAGTCCACGAGTCATAAAAGGGCCAAGTGTGAAGACCCCTGGAGTAAAACAACCCATAATTTGCCCCCTTCCAATTTTTTCCACTGGTTCTTGAGTCCCCCTCTGGAACAATAGATGCAGAGATCCTTTCTTCCTTAAATTAACCATTTCCACTCAGGATTGCAAAAGGCGAACCCCAACCACATCCCACTCCAGATGTAAGCCATCACGCACAGTTTTGTCCCCCAACTCATAATTTTGCAATTAAGGCAGAATCCCCTTTACCTGGAACACCACTCTTGATTTTTCTAGGAGGTAAGTCCTCATGTTAGCCCCTGTGATTCGATACCGTTTGTCAAAACCGATTTCAATGTATTTCCCAAAGCGACTGCTGTTGTCGTTTCTTGTGGTTTTGGCATTGCCAATAGACTGTGGGGAAGGAAAGAGGACAGGGTCAGAAATTTTGAGACCCACTCCAATTATAAGTATTATATTATATTGATTAATTAATTAAGGAGGGCTTCTTTCTCACACACATGGGAGAGGATGCCTCTTCTAAGACTAGGGCTTTCTGAGAAGACATGTGCATATTCAAAAAGAAAGATGGACTACAACAGGAGTCTTCAAACTTGGTCACTTGAAGACTTGTGGACTTCAACTCCCAGAATTGCTCAGCCAGCGTGAGGCACGCTAGCTGAGCATACTGAAAGTCCACAAGTCTTAAAGTAGCCAAGTTTGAAGATCCCTGGACTACATCATGCCTGAGAATTATTCTTTTAACAATTGCCAGTTTTAATCCATAACTTAATCCATAACTTAAAACTCATATTAAAAATTTAATCTATACGATGTCTCCAGTTAACATATTCAGATGCATATGATATTACAAGCACAAACAGACCTCTTTATGTAGATACAAAGAATTGTTTGACTAAAAATCACGCAGAAGATAAGTCTCCACTACCCCCAACAGACCTTCTTTCAGAAAATGGGTTTCATCATTCATACACTTTTGTTAACAATAACTGCATGTTAGTGACAGTGCAGCACACCCACCCACTAAGACTGAATCAGAGATTTTTTTGAAGACTGAGGGTGGAAGATATCTTTAGAACAATGACTGTATTTGTACGTCACCAGAGATAGAGTGAAGGGATCTGGAGAGACTCAAAAATAATAATAATATTAATAATAATGCATGTTTTAAACCATGCTGACTCAGGAATTCTGGTAGTTAAAAGTCCACAGGGCCTAAAGTTGTCATAGCTGTTCACCCCTGCTCTATCATGTCACGATCGTTCTACATCTAGAACAGGGGTGTCAAACTCAATTTCACTGAGGGCCACATCAGCATTGTGGTTGCCCTGGGGGGGGGGCTGGGGGTGTGTGGCCAGGGTGGGTGCGGTCTACTGGGTGAGTGTGGATGGAGTGGGTGTGGCCTATTGGGTGGGCGTGGCCAGCTCTACATCGTTTGCTTTAAGGGTGCCTATGGGGGCCTGGGCAGGAGTGGGACAGATCTGAGGGTCTTTGGCAGAAGGGGATGGGACCGGGACAAGCGCCAAGGCATGGTCCATTTCTTCATTCCTCACAAAGGGTGACCCCTCCCCAGCATGCACCCAGGGGGTGGGGCCGACGCGGCAGGGGCTGGTTCCTCGCTGTTTCCAGACGGCCTTGTGGAGCCAAGACTGAATGCGTTTCAGCATAGATGGCCACCACAAAATTGTACATTGGCTTCCAGCCGGCCTGGGCCAGGGCCAAGGCAGCGGGGGGGCGTTCCCTCACTGTTTCCAGGATGGCTTCGCGGGCCACATGAAACCACTTTGTGGGTGGCATCCGGCCCCCGGGCCTTGTGTTTGACATGTCTGATCTAGAAGGAAAAGTGAAAATGCTCACGACATGCCTATTGGTTAGTAGGCGTTTTACTGATAAATGCTCGGTAAAGTTGCTTGCAAACTTCCACACAGCACGGCAAACCAGGCAGAATTACCTGAGCTCTGAATACATCAAATACACCTCTGACAAAGTTGCCTTTAGGGCCACCTCCACTTTTGTTTTGTGTTTCAAGAAATGCTTAAAATAAGGAAAAAATAGGTTTTAAAATATTCAAGACAGGGGGGAAGTGGGACTTAATCTCTCAATAGATCTCCTGAATGTTCTGCATCTGGTAGGTATATCATCAGGTATATCTTCCCTCCCCATCCATTTCTCTTTTGCATTTACATTTTTAAGGGCTTCCATCATTGTCCTGTTTTCCTGCAAAATCTGCTAGTCCTTAAGAATCCGTATCGGTTATAGACAGTCCTTGACTTACAACAGTTCAATTAACGACCATTCAAAGTTACAAGGGCACCGAAAAAGGTGACTTACGACCGTTTTTCACCCTTAGGACCACTGCAGCACCCCTGTGGCCAGGCGATCAAAACTCGGACGCTTGGCAACTGACTCTGCATTTATGACGGTTGCAGTGTCCTGGGGGTCATGTGATCCCCTTTTGCGGCCTTCTGACCAGCAAAGCCAATGGGGAAGCCAGATTCACTTAATGACCGGGTTACTAACAACCGCAATGACTCACTTAACAACTGGGGCAAGGAAGATGGTAAAATGGGACAAAATTCACTTAACAAACGTCCCTCTTAGCAACAAAAATTTGGGGACTGATATATACCTGATATATCATCCAGGATGGTTGAAGCAGTCAAGGGGAAACAAATCGTCCAATGGCAAAATTGTTCCCTAATTTAAAATAATAATAATAATAATAAAGGAACAACACACACATTCCGGTCTTACCTCCATTATAGGATTGGAAGCTAATACTTTCTCTTCAACGTTAGCTTCACTTGCCGAGCCGCTCACCGTGGCAAAGTATCTCATGGCGTATTTGGCAGACACGGTTTTCCCAGCTCCCGATTCCCCGCTGACGATGATGGACTGGTTGCGTTCATCTCTGAAATAGAAACAAAATCATTGGACAGAATAACAGAGCTGGAAGGGACCTTGGAGGTCTTCTAGTCCGACCCCCTGCTCAAGCAGGAGACCCTATACCCGTGGTGGCGAACCTATGGCCCGCGTGCCACAGGTGGCACGCAGAGCCCTCTCTGTGGGCATGCGCACCGTCGCCCCAGTCCTAGGTCTTCAGCTGGGTTTTATAAAGCCTTTTCACTTTAGGCCTCTGCCGCCGTGTACAAAAAAAAAAAAAGGTTCAATCAATCAATCAATTTCAACTTCTCGCGGGGAAAAAAAAGATCTTGCAAAGTTGGAATTGATTGATTGAACTTTTTAGTCCCACCCAGTCTGCCGTTACCACCGCAGTCCCACCCACCCAATGGGCCACACCCACCCAATGGGCCACACCCACCCGGCACTCGACGATGCATGTGGGTTTTGGGCACTCGGTCTCTAAAAGGTTTGCCATCACTGCCCTATAACTCATAAACCTATCATTTAGATTGTGTATGACTACAGGGAGTCCTCAGACTAAGGATTGCAATGGACCCCAAAATGCCCGTTGCTAAGCAAGACAGTTGCATGAATTTTGCCCCATTTTTACGACCTTCCTTGCCCCAGCTGCACACTGAATCACGGCAGTCGCTTACTTAGTACCGCGACTCTTCAAAGAATCTTGACTTCCCCATTGACTTTGTCAGGAGGTTGCAAAAGGAGGATCACGTGACCCCCATCAAAAATACAAACCCGTTGCCAGCATCTGAATTTTGATCATGTGACCATGGGGATGCTGCCATGGTTATAAGTGTGAAAAGCCTTCACAGGCCATTTTTTTTCAGCGCCACGGTCACTTCAAACGGTCGTTAAACAAATGCCGAAGACCGCCTGCATATGATTCTATTTATCATGACAACAGCCCCCCTCCTTCCACAAACCTAATTGGTGGAAAGCCGACACCCCTCATTCTCACAAACCTGGCCATCTGTTTGTATGCCTCCTCAGCCACAGCAAAGATGTGGGGGTCCATGTCCCCCATATTTTGGCCACTGTAGGCATTGATGATGTCTTCGCCATAGATAGGCAGCTGCTCGTAAGGATTTATGGCAACTAAAACTATACCTAAAGCAAAATAAGAACAAAGACATGGTAAAGTAGTGGATATTGATTCAGGAACAATTTAGCCCGTGTTGAACTGCAACCATCACAATAAAGATATGTTTTCTTTTTAGCTTTGTCAGTGTATTGCCTAAACCAGGGGTCCCCAACCTCCGATCCGTGGACCGGGACCGGGCCACGGCATGCCAGCAACCGGTCCGCACAAACAAGCAAAGCAGGCAGCACACAAAACCACGCGCTCTCCGGTCCGTGGAAAAACCTTTCTCCACAGACCCGGTCCCTGGTGCTCAAAAGGTTGGGGGCCACTGAGCTAAACAGTACAACTGACATTATATGGAATGTAATTTAAGCGGTTGTCTGTAGGAGACTCGGCTTCCAGGGTGAATCATGGTTGACTGAAGACATCTCCACGAACAAGCAGAGACTATGACCATTATGAAGAACGAAGGACCGGCGGCTAGACCAGTCCTTCGAAAGAGTGAGCAGGAGGTCACCCACAAGTGCTCTGAATGACAATTCTTCACAAGGAGACCATCAAATAGCAGTGTCCATGAGTTTTGAAGGCCAGGAGCCAAAATCTAATCTAATGAGCCGAGGTGGCGCAGCAGTTACAGTGCAGTACTGCAGGCCACTTTAGCTGACTGTGTTCAGCAGGTCAGCGGTTCAAATCTCACCGGCTCCAGGTTGACTCAGCCTTCCATCCTTCCAAAGTAGGTAAAATGAGGACCCGGATTGTTGGGGGCAATGTAATATATATATATATATATGTAATATATGTGTATATGTATGTGTATGTATGTATATATATATATATATACATACATACATTGCTTACTGGTGTACACCGCTTAGAGAGTGCTTTCACTTAAAGCGGTACATAAGTCTCATAAATAAATAAATAAATAAATAAATAAATAAATAAAATCTTCGCTCCGAGCACAACAGAGCCTTTGATAAGGACGCTTTAGTAAGGATATTAAGCTTGCCTAATTCATTTTCTAATAACATCTGGAAATGTTCAATTTAACCACTTTATGGACATTAAAAACCTTCAAAAGAGTGAATTTAATTGGATACCTGATGAACTTTTACTTTCTTTGGATTTAAAAAAAAAATTAAACAGGGATTTAAGAATTTAAAAAATATACAGTTGGCAAAAAGCAAAAAAGATTGAGTTCTGATCAGATTGGGAGACCAGAGAGATTTGGAATATTGGTTATTTTTGCTGTAAGAGTCAAAAAGGAGGCATGTAATTAAATTGTCTAGAGCAGTGGTTCTCAATCTGTGGGTCGGGACCCCATTTGGGGTCGAACGACCATTTCACGGGGGTCGCCAAACAACGCAGTCCGCCATTTCCCTCCCCCCCTTTTCCTTAGCTGTGCTACTCCCTTTTATTCTATTGGCTTTTGAAAGCCAATAGAATAGACTCTCTTGAATAGAGTCTAATTCTATTGGCTTTCAAAAGCCAATAGGAATTGTCCAGGCTGTCTCTGCCCTGCTGAGCCCACCAAAAGTCCCATTCTGCAAACGGAGCTGCACCAGTTGAGTAATCCTCGACTTACGACCGGTTGAGTAGTCCTTGACTTACGACCGGTTGGGGGTCGCGGCATTTAAAAAGGTTGAGAACCACTGGTCTAGAGAGACGACTAAAAGGAACTAAACCCATATTAGGAGGCTTGGTGAAGGTTACAAGTGGACACTAGAAGGAACTAAAGGACCAGGCAGAAAAGAATTTAAATGGCTAAGCCAGGGGTAGGCAAACTTGGCTCTTTTATGCCTCATGGACTTCCAGAATTCCTGAGCCAGCCATGCTGAGGGGAAAGGGAGAAGTTTCCAAGCTGAGCCATGCTGGCTCAGGTATTCTGGCAGCTGAAGTCCACAAGTCATAAAAGAGCCAAGGTTGCCTATCCCTGGGCTAAGCCCACTATTGGAATACAAAAGACAAATAACGAATACTTGTAAAGAACAGGATGGGAATAGGAATCTATGGGGAAGGGAAAAGGCATATGAAAAAAAAAGTGAAATGTATAGCTTCAGTTCAGTTTGTCACAGCGTTGACAGAAAGTTTATGAAACAAATTTTGCTTAAATCTCTTCCTAATTCTTATGCGTTTTTAAGATGTTCCCATTTTTTAAAACAACTTCCCTTGTTGCACCAACTTCTAAGAAACTGATGAAAGATCTATAAGTGTGTCACGGAGGCACAAACTGCATGCACACATTATCTCTACAGCTGAAAAGTCATGTGTTCTTTGCTCAATAATTACACAACAAAGTTTAAAAAAGCATCTAACAAGTTCAGGTAAGCTTAATGCCTGTGCATATATGAAAGTTATCGTGTCTATTCTACAAACTTACCTGATACCAACTTACGCCAAGACTGGAAAAACCCAGTCACTGCAGCATTGTGGTTTTACACAACCAGCAAAAATACAGACTTTTAAAAAATGCTCAGGCCGCTGTAGTTATGAAAGAAATATTATAAACTTTTTTCAGAACTGCAATTTTTTTATTATTATTATTCCTGGCCTGGAATGTGCCATTTACCTACACCAGGGATTCTCAAACTTGGCCACTGGCTGGGGAATTCTGGAAGTTGAAGTCCACAAGTCTTAAAGTGGCCAAGTTTGAGGACCCTTGACCTACACTAACAAGGAATAATGTGAAAGAGACTTCAGAGGGTCTGTGCTTACCACAATATGTATAAATGAGTTTTGAGTCTATAAACCGAACTTTGAGATTGTGGAGAACAGCAGGTTCATGAAGGTAGCTGAGTGCTGTCAGGTCATTTTCACCCACAAGTATGTCTGGATTTCGCAAGGGTGGTAGGTCCTTAGACTTAGCATCAAGTTTATATTCAATATCCTTAAAAAAAATAACACAAATTATACTTGGGAGAGTATTTTTTTTAGTTTTCCCCCCACAAAGTTCATTAGCTGTGTAAATTAAAAGGAAACTTGAGACGTCCTAAAGATACGTTTTTCTATAGCAGCTTACAAACTTTTTTTCTCAAGTTGATTGTTATGGTATATAGGTAGTACATAAAGTACCTTTTAAATGCTATTTATTTTATTTTAGGGATACTTTAAAGCCAACTGAACGACTTTGGTAGCAGGTGATGCAAATTCCAAATAAACAGGGTCATATCATGAAAGTAAAGATTTCAGAATCAAAGCAGAACAAACCTTACTAAATATAATGGTAAAATTAACATTACCTTGCCATCCTCAAGTCGCAGATGTAGGACTTTGTCTCCTGGTTTATAATCTTTCAAAAGTTCTGCCGACTTCCACACTAATTCTGAATCCGGTATCCAAATCCTTGCATACTAAAAGACAGAAACAATTAAAACAGTTATCTTTTTTAAAGGGATTTATAATAGGAGCATAATCACACTTATCAACTAACATTTGCAGCTGTTTTTTCAAGTCATTATTACGTATTTCTGATCTTTTGCTCCCTTAATTTATACTAAATTTGGCCTCCCCATTGGCTGGACAACATTCCATCGACAAGTCCTTACTTTCCAGATAAATGCCTTTAAAAGATTCCATCTTTCTCTTACCAGACTCAGTGTTACATCTCCCCTCAAGGCCAGTTTGCAAAGAAATTGAACAAGAATGTGTTGCACTGTGGGGGAAAATGCATGCGCAGCAAACTGCCGTACTTTCCCCCCCACAAACCTCATAACCTTTTGATATCCTTTGTCCTAATGAAGCAGCCAGAAGGTCATCCACTTTTGACTTAATGCCTCACCTACCTAAACAGATAATATGCTTACCTTAGTTCCTTCTCCTATCTCTTCCTGTCTTTGTTAGTTCCTTCTGCTTTCATCTCTCTGTATTTGTTCTTACCTGGCCTTTGACCATGTAATGTGTTACTAGAAAATAGTTGCTTACATGAAGACATTTTCCAATGAAGAAACTTTATGTCAGCATCTAATGGTTAAACTTATGAATGTAAAATGTCAGCATTTAATGGTAAAGCCTATGTATGTAACATGTATATAAGAAGCAATAAACTCAGAGTTTGTCAAACTGTGTCCTGCAGCTTCAAACCCCTGCTCAAAACATGTCTGTGTCTTTTTCTTAGCGTCTTACATTGCACTGCATAGGAAACAAGCGAAGTCTACAACAAAATATATCCACCCTGTACAAAAGGCAAATTATTTAAAGGCCCATCAAACATTAGCAAAGACAAGTAGGATAAAGCCCACAGAAGCTCTACTTTTCACTGTTTGTATTTATTAATGGATGTTAAAACTCTTTTGGAGCTAAAAGACATATGTACTGAGATACATCTTTTGGAGCTAAAAGGTTTACTGAAATATGACTTCACCTTTTTCTGGGAATTTGGAAACACAGAATGACAGGAAGGAACTAAGAAGTTAAAACCTTTCTAAAAGAAAGCACAGCCCCTGCTGTTACAGAGAGTTTTCTGCTTGCTGTGTGCCAATAAAAAGAACAAAATCTTAATTACTACAGGCCAGTGATGGCGAACCTTTTAGAGACCATGTGCCCAAACTGCAACCTAAAACCCACTTATGCATTGTTGGGTGCCGGGTGGATGTGGCCCATCGGCTGGGTGTGGCCAACTGGGTGGGCGTGGCTGCGGTGGTAACGGCAGACTGGGTGGGACTAAAAAGTTCAATCAATCAATTCCAACTTTGCAAGATCTTTTTTTTTCCCGCGAGAAGTTGAAATTGACTGATTGAACCTTTTTTTTTTGCACACGGTGGCTGAGGCCTAAAGCGAAAAGGTTTTATAAAACCCAGCTGACGGCCTAGGACTGGGGCAACGGCATGCGTGCCCACAGAGAGGGCTCTGCTTGCCACCTCTGGCACCCGTGCCATAGGTTCGCCACCACTGCTCTAATGCCAGAACACTGGCATCTTGTGCATCTGCTGGGAAAACCACCACATCAAACAGTTGCAACAACAAGGACCAAGGGAACACATCTCCATGGAAACTAGACAACCAAAACCCACTGCGCCGACTTAAAGGAATATTTAAAGGAAGAAGATCTGCCGTCAACAGATGCCTGTGGCATTTATGTGTGCGATTTTGATCACCTGTGTCTCTGTGTTAATATTTCAACCACGGCAAAAGAATCCTCTTAATAATTAAGCCGCAGAAGTTGGCTGAGTTGTAATTATTTTCTCTTATTTAACCTGAATTTCAACCCATTCCATCTGAGAGGATCAAACTTATGTTTATATCGGGCAAGCTGCATGTGGTGCATTTAGCTTGCTTGGGTATCAATGTCCTTGGAAAGGATTTGCGAAGTTTTTGCTTCAGAACCTAAGCCAAAGAAATAGCCGTAGAAATATTTTTAATATTGTTGTTGAATTTTTATCCTGTCTGTTTTATAGGCACATAACTCAAATGACCAAATAGTCACTGAGTAGCACCGATTTCTACCCCCCAGACTTTAATCGTGGTCTGCAATAGAGAAGAAAACAATATATATTTTCCTGAAAAAGCTACCATTTACTCCTCAAAGAATTGAAGGGTTTTTCTTTAAAAAGGAAAAAAAAAAGCATGTTTTAAGGTAATAACATCCATTAGAAATTCAAGCAGTCACTTCAAGAAATTGCAATTTCTTAACTGGCAGAAATATCATGCAGGCTCGCAAAAGCTCCTAAGTTATCTCATGGAAAGAGAATTTGATATAAATAATGGATTTTTTTTTCCCAAAATAATTAAATGGCATCCACAGTAGTATTCTTCACGAAACCTTCATCTGTGGAGATTACAAACCCTTGGAACAACCAAACCTTTGAAGTTTTTCAACTGTAATCACATTACATTTTGATAAAAAGAGCTCTTGACAGAATTCTGTTCCGCAGAAAAAATAAGAGTGTTAAAAACAATTTTTTCTTGCATTTCATGATCTAATCTAAGATCATATGAGCAAATCACCAGACCAAACTATCGACCAAAACATTCACATCATAAGATCACTTAAGGCAGGGAATCTCTCACAGGCACTAGTGGTCAGTTAAAATTTGTTGTTGTTAGTTGCAAAGTCGTGTCCGACCCATCGCGACTCCATGGACAACGTTCCTCCAGGCCTTCCTCTCCTCTACCATCTTCTGTAGTCCATTTAAGCTCACGCCTCCTGCTTCAGTGACTCCATCCAGCCATCTCCTTCTCTGTCGTCCCCTTCTTCTATTGCCCTCAATCTTTCCCAGCATTAGGCCCTTCTCCAGTGAGTCCTTCCTTCTCATTAGGTGGCCAAAGTATTTGAGTTTCAACTTCAGGATCTGGCCTTCTAAAGAGCAGTCGGGGTTGATCTCTTCTAGGACTGACCGGTTTGAACGCCTTGCAGTCCAAGGGACTCGCAGGAGTCTTCTCCAGCACCATAGTTCAAAGGCCTCAATTCTTTGGCGCTCAGCCTTTCTTATGGTCCAACTTTTGCAGCCATACATTGCAACTGGGAAAACCATGGCCTGGACTATACGCACTTTTGTTGGCAGGGTGATGTCTCTGCTTTTTAGTATGCTGTCTAGATTTGCCATAGCTTTCCTCCCCAGGGGCAAGCGTCTTCTAATTTCTTGGCTGCAATCCCTATCTGCAGTGATCTTGGAGCCCAGGAAGATAAAATCTGTCACTCCCTCCATTTCTTCCCCATCTATTTGCCAGGAATTAAGAGGGCTGGATGCCACGAGGTATTTTTAAACTCAAAAAGAGAGTGCAATATGCTTCTCAAGTCTATTTTTTAAAAAAAAAAAAAGCCAGAAGAGTGTAAGTGCATCACTATTTTTTTTTAAAAAAAATCATTTTGGATTTAAAAGAACAACAAGAGTAACAAATGCAACTGAATAATATTTACCATTTGCACTCAATAATATAGGTACATTGTTAACATATAAAACCAGGACATACCAAGAAACGTTGTTGTTAGAAAAGCAGATTATGTATCGTTGGCTGCTCAATTTCAAGTACAAGCTACTCAAGTCAAAAACAGTATTATCACAACATTTCATACCACATTAAGCATGAATGAATACTTCGGTAACGCTTTCCCTGGGTTTCAGCCAATCTCTCCCTTTTTTTCTAGTTTCCAATACGGAAAAAAAAATACATTTTTGGATGAAACCCACTGGATCCAGCATCTATCAGCATTAATTGCAATTTCAGCTTGGTGTCTTGTCTCCTTGTCCAAATTATATTGTTTTACACATTCCAAACATAAATTCCACAACAGTATCAAGCTCGGCATCATTTTATACACTATGTAAATAGCAGTAACATGCTTACAGCTATCGAAATACTTCTCCCATTTTCTTGACTAAATAAACAGGCTTCCAAAGGCAGAATCCACCTCCCTGAACCTTTTGTGGGAAGTCAGCCCCCCCCCCCCTCAAGAGAAGGAAATATTAACAAGGGCAAAATATTGTATTTCCTCAAAGGATGTTAAAAAGACAGAAAAGCATGCCCAGTTTTTCTTAATTGCCCTAAGTCTCCCTCCTCCACGCAGAAACCAGCTCTGTAGAAATACAGATATCATAATCCTTTCAGAAAGACTGGCACCTGGAAGCATAGAGCTGATGGGATTAGAAGGACAAAGATCCCTAGAGTCAACAATCCCTCACACCGAAAAATCCAACACAGGACATAGCCATCAGCCACAGCCTCAGGGAAGCAGGATATGACCTTTGGGACATAATAGGATTAACCCACGGCCATCAGAATACCAGAAAGGCACACTCAGACTCAGGTCAAAGTTCATGGCACAGGAACAACTCCAAACAAAAGCTCAAGAAGGTATAAAAACCCACCACTCCCTACTACATGTGGTCAGCTTTCTCAGAGCCACACTTCTGTCTGGCTCTCCTCCTCAATAAACTACAACCTTCTTTCTAAAGCAGTCTCCATTTTGTTTATTCCCGGCTTGGACGGGACCCTGATGAAGATTTTCCTTTCAACAGTTTAATGCAGTGGTTCTCAACCTTTTTAATGCCACAACCCCCCAACCAGTCGTAAGTCGAGGACTAAACCGGTCGTAAGTCGAGGACTTTCCCTGCCCGGGACCGCCGTGCATGCATGGTGCCGCCCCCTGCGCCAGCCGAGGCGTAGCTGGCAAGCAGCAGAGACGGAGCACGCCGACCACTGGCTGGGCCACCAGCTGGTCCAGCCCAAGGGAGGTAAGGCACCCGCTGGAAAAGGGGAAAAAATGGCGGACAGCCTTGCTTGGCGACCCCCGTGAAATGGTCGATCGACCCCAAATGGGGTCGCGACCCATAGGTTGAGAACCACTGGTTTAATGGAATACTAAAGGAAGTAAAGAAGACAAATTTTGCTCTGGTAGCGATACAATGTCAACAGAGGTTAAGGCAGTGTTTCTCAACCTTAGCCACTTTTAGATATGTGGACTTCAACTCCCAGAATTCCCCAGCCAGCTCTGCTGGCCTGGCATAATTATGGCAAAGTGCTATCTCAATCAGAAGCATAAAAACATATTTCTGGCTCAAACAGAGTTGCTGTCCATCAGTTATGGCACACCCTTGTTCAGAATGCAACTGTTCGATCAGAAATCTAGCTTGCTTCGTTTGCAAGAACAGGAAGACAGAAGATTGGCAAATCTGTACCAAATTTAGTAGAGGAAAAGAGGAAGAAGACGTTCTCCTCTCATAATACTCCTCGCAAACTGAAAACTAATGAAGCAGGGGGGAAGGTTTTAATCTATGTCTCTATTCACATTATTGAGTGCACTGTGTTACTTCAAACTGCAATTTTAAAAAAGTCTTCCTCCACTGAAAGAAATACAGGCAGCAAACTATGTTAGATTTCTACACGACTAAACTTTGGATTTTTTTTTTTAAAAAAAACACATTATTTTGCTGCTTTTCCATCTTAACAGGAAGAAGACTGTATGCAGACTTATATCTAGAACAGGGGTAGGCAACCTTGGCTCTTTTATGACTCAGCTATGCTGGCTCAGGAATTCTGGGAGTTGAAGTCCACGAGTCATAAAAGAGCCGAGGTTGCCTACCCCTGATCTAGAAGATTGGCAATAGAAAAAGCAAAAAATGAAGCCCCACAAGGAAGTCACATTGCAATTTAAGCTGCAACCCTTTTAAGACTTGAGAGCACCCATTGCTGATATTAATTTATTCCGGGAGCAATTGGGACCGCCTTATTATCAATGAAAAAACCAAGGCGTGCGGTGTAAAAAATGATAAGTCATTAGAAGAAACCGTTTTTACCCTCAGGTCAACATTAGAAGCTGAACCAATAACAGAACTATTACATTATCATCACATTTTCTTAGATAATTTAAGAAGAAACGTTTGTCAAATAAAACTTGCTTTGTTGTCCAACGAGAAATTTGTCCAGTTTGAAGAAGCAATGTTTTCTCTTCAGCTGTTAGGCACCAGGAACCTCATCAAGCACCCAGACAGAACTCTACAATATAATAAGACTGAAGAATGTCTCCGTAAATAAGTCCCACTACACTGAACAGTAATTACTTTGCAATAAAATGTAATATAGTTTTTCCCTAGCTGGTGCTCCCCATTATCTTTAACTCCTGTAACTTCCATAACATTCCATAAAATTAGAGCCAACACACTGCAGGGTAGCAATCTGAGGCAAATACGGTATTCCAAATTAATAGTGGAAAAAACAGCATCCTCTTTCATTAATATAAAGTTAAATATGTAGCATCTTTTTTTGGGAAAAAAATCACAGTATTTTAAACTTGAATGCAGTATTAGATTCTGCCAATCTGAACTGGGAAACATTTCAGAATTATTCCAAAATTGTCAGTTTCCATAGGTAGAAAAAAAAACAAAAAACAGTTCACCTTTAGAACACTCAAGACCCACACAGACAATGAATACAAGTCATAGTTTGATCGCTAAATTTACACACCAAAATATACTATTCTCTTCTATTAAAACTGTACTCCATACTTTTCCCTAACACACATAAATATTCATTCCCTTCGGGTGCAATCCACCGCAACTGAATCAACCAAACTCTTCTGCAACTTTAAACAGGACTACAATCTTGGCAAAGAGGTTATGATCTCTGAATAAATCCCTCGGTTCTAATTTACATGAAAGCTGGGACATGACCACTGAAGTAAAGACTAGGATAGAGAAAGCTCGAACAGCATTCTTCAAAATGAAAAAGGTCTTCTGCAGTCACGACATAAGCCTAAGACTGAAAATCAGGCTTGTCAGATGCTATATTTTTTTTATCCTGCTCTATGGAGTAGAGAGTTGGTCTCTGACAGAAGGCCACCTAAGAGACTGGAAGCATTTGAAATGTGGATTTACAGGCGGCTGTTACATAGAAGCTGGGCTGACAAGATCAGAAATGAGGAGGTGATAAGCCGCCTGGGAAAGCCAAGGGAAATCATCAAAACAATTAAAAAACGAAAATTAAAATATTTCGGACATGTGATGCGACACCCAGAAAAATATGGCATACTCCATTTAATCCTCCAGGGAAAGATGGAAGGCAAACGAGGTCCAGGCAGAAGAAGAACATCGTGGCTTCAAAATCTAAGGGACTGGTTCGGACAAAACTCAGCTGCACTTTTTCGTGCGGCTGCTGATAAAAACAGGATCGCCAACATGATCGCCAACATCCGATAACGGATAGGGCACAAGCAGAAGAAAAAGTAAGAATAAGACGGTAACTTACTTGAATGTACATATGGTTCAAGCTATCCACTGTTTTCCAGTATTCGCGGTGATGCAAACTTCTACTAATCTGGGCAGCAATCATTGTCACCTTGGTAAGCGAGGCATGGGATAGGACCTACTCCCTGCTGTCTGCTAGTAAGCCTTGTGGTTTGAGCTGATTCTAACAGGCAAAGTGATACTATCCACTCTCAAAGCTACGTAAGGATCAACTGAATGACAACTATGTCAGATTGCTGGATTCTTTCCTTGCCCAAAAGTTCCCCAGCACAAAAGGCAAGAGTGTTCCCTCTCTGCGCCTCTTGAAAGAACGGAGAAATCCCACTGTCTTGTGAGAGTCATCAAATGCCAGCGTTCAAAAAAACATTGCTCCTAGCGATAATTTGTTTTCACCATTCATATTAAGCTGGCGGCACTGGGCCTTTCGTTCTTCCCTCTCTAGAAACAGGGAGATTAATAGCCAAAGAATTAATATTCAATAACCTGCCTTAATCTTGGCTTCTTGCTCGTACTCATTGCATGCCCCCCCCCTCAATTCTGCTCCCTGTATAAATTAATTTTGCTGTATTACGAGCCATTTCATTTAGTGGCCTTCCCCTCCACACTGTTAAGGGGACAGGAACCTGGAAATACTTCATGCTCTTTTGGCCATAGCCATCTCAGTCTGGAATACCTTGCTTCTTCTCAGGGTTAACCTTCTGCTAAAATGGTGTTTTTTCAAACAAACTTTGTAATAGAGAGGGCTAGTCAATAAGCTAGCATTGCATGCTCTGCCAATAAGTTGAGGAGTGTATCACATGGCGGTGCACTTGAATCAAGCTACAGCTAGAATGGAATGGACCTCATACATCGTATCAAGCCTTGTGTAGTGTGCTTATGGCAGCTTTTCTCAACGTTTGTGTGACGGCGACCCCCGTCACACAAACGTGCCGTGCATGCGCGCCCATGCGCACCCGCCCCATGCGCACCCCGCCCCCATGCGCACCCCATGCGCATCCACCCCATGCCCCCCATGCGCCCCCATGCGCGCCCACCCCCACGCGCGCCCATGTATGGTGGCGCCCCCACGCGCAGCGCGCATGCGCGGCGGCGGCCCCACGTGCAGCGCACATGCGCGGCGGCACCCCGAGGGGGGGAAATGGCGGATCGCATTGTTTGGCGACCCCCGTAAAATGGTCGATCGATCCCAAATGGGGTCGCGACCCATAGGTTGAGAACCGCTGGCTTATGGGCTTTACTGAGCCCTGGTGGTGCAGTGGTTAGAATGCAGTATTGCAGGTTAGCTCACTGCTCACTGCCAGCAGTTCGATCCTGACTGGCTGAAGGTTGACTCAGCCTTCCATCCTTCCGAAGTCAGTAAAATGAGAACCCAGATTGTTGGGGCAACAGGCTGACTCTGTAAACCGCTTAGAGGGGGCTGTAAAGCACAGTAGAGCGGTATATACATTTAGGTCAGGGGTGGCGAACCTATGGCACGCGTGCCAGAGGTTGCACTCAGAGCCCTCTCTGTTGGCACACAGACCACCTCCAGCAGCAGATCCATCAGGCCACCCCCGCCACCCGGAGCAGGAGCTCCATCCAGCACAAAGGAGGCGAAGCGGCAGACTAGCAAGCTTGAGTAGAAGTGGTAGAGCAGAGGTCACCAACCATTGTTGGACTGGAAGAAAAGGGAGGAGGAAGCATTTTGCACTGCAAATGGGGTGGGGCTAGTGCCTGCGTGATACTCACTAGCCCTGCCCCGTTCTTACATGATGCAGCGCCTTGTATCTGCACCCTGTGGTGCGGCGGCGGCCGTTTTTGCGCCTTGCAGCACGGTGGCCCATTTTTGCGCCCCCAGTTTTTGCGTGCCAGAGGCGGCACTCAGAGGCACCTCCCTGGCTCCCCCCCCCGAGGGCACCACAATGCTGATGCAGCCCTGGCACTTTGTGATAAATAAATGGGGTTTTGGGTTGCGGTTTGGGCACTCGGTCTCTAAAAGGTTCGCCATCACTGATTTAGGTACTATTGCTATGGGAGGAGGGTTTTGATTTTTACCAAGAACAAGTGCATTGTTAGCAATTCTGGGCATAGATCTGCACATTCTTTGGCATCAGGGCATATGCTAACAGAGCCTTTCATTTCTCCTTTGTTATTTGCTATCACTCCTGCACTGTCTTCAAAATACAACAATACCCTATCTTTTTTCCCCCTCCTTTGACAAATCATTAAGGCTGGCTGCACCTTCTTTCTCAGCTCTGCTCGCCTTTCTTGACAGTAGCCATTACCATGTCCCCCACACCAACAGCTGGCAGCTATTCAGCTTCCCCCCCCCTTAATTCCTTTCACTGAGATTATGTACATACCCTTGGCTTCTGCATTATCTGCGGTTGATAATAGCTTCCACAGGAGGACCAAGTAAAATACCAAACGTTGCACCAGATCAACCACCATGTCTATGCTTAGACAATTTAGTTTTGGATTTGCAAACTTTTCCATCATGGCTTAATGGACTTATCTCACTTAATGACTTAATCTCACCTCCCTTGTATCTTGTCTCATTTTATTGTATTTTACTGTGGTTAATGCTCATGTTTGATGTGGTCAATTGGCGAATCAATAAAGTTTATCACATTGTATCCTTATAGCTTAGTGTTTTGGGAATCTAGCAAAATGGGGGTTAGTCAATACATCATGGTAAAACCATGGGTTATGGCAATCATAGGTTAAGGCCATCTGTAAAACAAGCCCAAATGTTACTACGATAATTATACACTGCCCAGATGCAGGATGGACAGTCTCTACATTTTATAAATAAATATATCTTTCAGACGGCCACAGCCGGCTACAGACCTAATTGCTATTATCCAGCTATAGCTTCTACAGGTAATTCTTTTTGATCTATATCAGTAACAATGGTGGTAATATCAGAACATAACAAAAATTTGGAATTTCCCTTTTTCAACCTCTTTTAAAGCACTGTATCAAATCATCTTGCAAAGTACTGATTCATAGGCGGGACTGGATCAACAAGAAGGGTTAGCGGTTTGGATATTTGAGCCTATTCAGCAGTTAAAGATTAATCACCTGCCGCACCCCAAAATAAATTAATTCACTGAAAGTGATAAAGAGGTTTTTAAAAATAAATGCTAATGTGTATTGTTAAAGAAATGCTCAAGACACATGCTACAAGGCTGGGGTTTTTTTTTAAAAAAATAGGCTCTTTAAACTGTTAAAGAGAATCTTCACATGGATATAATCTATGCACAGAGAGCAGATGTACTGTCATGTAAGAACAGATGTTTTCACATTTTACTCCACATCATGCTAAAAAAAAAATATTGGCCCACTTCCTAGCAGTCATGCAGATGATGAGAAATTCTAGCTACTGTCAATTTCACAGAACATCAGCTGATCAAAATACATCCTAGACAGGGCTGTGGATTGTCTGATTCTCTACAGAAAATACGTTAACACGGAAGATGTTCACAGGAGCGAGACATTATTGCTATCACTTGATGAGGCTCAAACCGTAATGTTTAGGGGTTCACTCTAATTAACATGTTTCAAAATGAGGCCTTGATCTGTGGAAGGGTACCTCTTGAAAGTGTGCTTGCAAATATTCACAACCATGAGGATACTTTTTCCAAAGAATTTCAGTGAAAGGCAATACATCCAGACTGATTTCTTGAAGTTGCAGGTTTTGGTCTGCCCACCGTATATGAATAAACATTTCCTATGAAAGGCCCTGTAAAGCAAGATTATTTCTTCATATATAAAATGCTGCCTCTCTTCAGTCAGCTCTGCCCATGTTCATCATACTTTCCTTGGAATAAACTGCACAGTGAGACAAATCTTCATCAACCAAAATGGCAGTGCTGGTCTTTACAAAGGAATGGAAAGAAAGGTGTTTTTTTTTTTCCCTTTAGAAAGAAATTGTAACTTCAGCTTGTCAGTCTACCAACACACTGCATTTACATTTGTTAAACTGGGTTCACACACCATTTCTCTAACTGCTTGTCTGTATCCTACCTGTTGTTGCAATTTTATATAGCTAGCTCCTCAGACCATGATGCTCAGCCATTAAAATGTGGCTCTGCACCCAGGTCTGGGGTTACAATGGACGCTGAGCCTTTGTTGTTGTTGTTGTTTTGTTGGTTTGGGCATATTTGGCTGTTTTAGTCTTCCAGATGTACATGTTTTGTATTTGGTCTTTTCTGGGTATAGCTACCCAAAGTCCTTTGGGAGTTGGGTGGTCTCAAAATATCATCATCATCATCACCACTACCACTGCAATACCTGGAGACAGATGAATAGAGGAGAAAGGAGAAAACTAGACAAAAGTGTCTTTGTCTACAAATATCCTGCTTTCATCTCAGCCATAAATATTTTGCTTATTTCAGACATTTTCCATCTCCCAAATCTGACCTTAGATCTTAAGCAGATATATAACTTCCATTGAAACAAACAGGCCACCCTGGTCAGCTGAGCTATAACATCTGGTTAAAGAAACGCCTAGGGCTCGGAACACATTTATCCATTGCCCCACTATAGCTATGCTCTAAATTCCAGGCCATCAGAAATCCTACGTTCATTAAGATTTCCACGCAAATGAGCTTAAACCAGGGCCAGTAAGATCTGGATGCTTCCAGGCTATGGAAATATTGATCCCACCACATTCACTGAATTTTAAACAGGGGGAAGGAAAGTCCAGGAAACATTTTCTACAACAGTTTTTCGACTGCTTCTTTCATCTGTGCATCATTAGAATAGAATAGAATGGAATGGAATGGAATGGAATGAAATAGAATAGAATAGAATAGAATAGAATAGAATAGAATAGAATAGAATAGAATAGAATAGAATGGAATGGAATGGAATGGAATGGAATGGAATGGAATGGAATGGAATGGAATAGAATAGAATGGAATGGAATGGAATGGAATAGAATAGAAAATATTGAGTGGAGTGGAGTGGAATGGAATGGAACGGAATAGAACAGAATAGAATAGAATAGAATGGAATAGAATAGAATGGAATGGAACGGAACGGAACAGAACAGAACAGAATAGAATAGAATAGAAATATCTTTATTGTCATTGTGTAACTCACAACAAAATTAAGTAAAGAGGAGGAAGGAAAGTCCAGGAAACATTTTCTGCAACAGTTTTTCGACTGCTTCTTTCATCTGTGCATCATTAGAATAGAATAGAACAAAACAGAACAGAATAGAATAGGAATATCTTTATTGTCATTGTGTAACTCACAACGAAATTAATTCCTGTCCACAGTGCACACTACATACAAGTAAAAACCACAAATAAGAACATACATTATATGCACGCATCCTTCAGCATCTGCCCCCATAAGAAAATCCATTAAGGAAAAAAAAACATGGAAAACATCTCTTAAGGGTAAATTCACAGCCAGACAGCTGAAAATATTCTTTGAAATAGAATATATGGCTGCATACCCTTCTCAACGCAACCTATCAAATCCACATGGGTTATAACAGAAGGCAGCTACGTCTTGCACCTCCAGTGCAAACCTCACTGAACAGACTTACTTCTGACTAGAGATTGATTCAAGTGCTTAAATGGCTTGCCTTATTTTCAAAATAAAACCACCCTATTCCACTTTCCACAGATCAGCACCATCTGTCACTTAGTGAAAGCCAGTGTCACAAATAGAGAGATTTTGTTGCCTTGCTACAGTATTTAGGGGATTTTCACTTGATGTGGTTCCTGTTTTTTATGTTGAACTGCATTAGTTCCAATTTATGTAGTCAAAGAACAAAAGCTTGGCTGACTAATGAATGGAGTCAAT